ATCTACACGTTTATAAAATAAAGGATTTGTTTACCTTTATAATGATCGGGTTTTTTGGTTAATTAATTTAATAAATATAATTTGTAACAATTTTTTTCAATAATTTATCTATTCTTTATTCTCTGAGTTGTTTTTTATATTTTATTTTGGTGAAAACGGTAACCTTTACCAAATAAATTTTAATTAAATATGAAGAAAATATTGTATTGATTACATATATTCTATTATCGTATTTTCAAAATTTTCAATACAACTTTTAGCACTAATTTGATCAGAAAATTAACCTACATATCTCATTTCTATTAATCTATGCGCAAGGTATATATATTCTATTTGAAAAGATTAATTGTAATCTTGAGATCAAATAAAATAACGGTGCCATGGCTTAGCTGGTTAAAGCGCCTGTCTAGTAAACAGGAGATCCCGAGTTCAAATCTCGGTGGCGCCTAATATTTTTTTGTTTTTTTATTCTTTCACATAATTCGTTATTTTTATACAAAACATTGTTCCCCTTTTTTTAAAATTTTATTTTGAACAATTTCTTTTATGACAAAGGAGGATACAAATATTTATTATATTTTTAGTTTATTTAAAGGCTACGGTTTAAAATTACCTGAAAATAAGAATTTATAATACTAATATGATTACTAAGGGGAATTATTTTTTTAAAAGACCTTCAGGCCCGGAGTGGGTTGGGAATTTTTTTTTACAGAATCAGGGCCTAACTGATTTAAAATATAGATTTTATAGTAATCAATTAATTGTTGTAAAATCAATTATTCAAAATAAATAAGTTTTAAAAATTGGACTGAATAATTTGGTATGTTTTCCAGAAAACTAGCAGAAAACTAGGCCATGACATGATAAAAAACGGTAAAGATTTCGGTTATACTACTCTTTAATAGGAATTTCAACATAGTTTATTTCTCGTTTACGCATTATTTCAATACAAACCGGGAGTTAGTAGAGCCCTTGGAATTCAATTTTTCTAGTCCGAGCCTGGCTCGCTTTTAGATTTATAAATCCGGTCCGAACTATTAAGAAATTTTTAGGCTCGACCCCGAATTCTTATTTAAAGCATGGACCGGGTTGAAATTTTTAATTATAAAGATAAATGAAGTAATCATTGATAGCTTTAACCTTATCATAGATAAGTTTGATTATTAATTTTAGTAATGCGAGAGAAAAACATCATTTTTTTAGAATTTTTTTGTGATATTTTTTTAAAGCCTGCCATGCCCGATTTTTGAAGTTATTATATTATATGATACATCTTAATTAGCAATGTTTACTCTGAGAATATAAATTGATAACTAATTACACATTTAAATAAAATAAATGATTTGTTTACCTTTATAAAAATAAACAAAAATCATAACGTATGATATAATTTTAACAATTATTTATTTCTATTCCCTTAGTTGCCTTATTTCATTTTGGTAAACGGTATAAGGGTTATTTAGCTAATCTTAACCTAATAAATTTTGATTAAATATGAAAAATTTCAAATATTTTTAACATGTTAGAAAGTATTATATTGATTACACATATAATTAAATCACTTATAGTATTTGTCAATTTTCAATATTTAGTCTAATTTAATTGGCAGCAGCTTAACTTTTACACATCTCATTAAATCGTCTTTGGAAAGATAGAATATTTATAATTATAAGATCAAATAAAAAATATTGATATATTTAATTACATCAAAAACTTCAAAATTTTTCACACCTGTGTTAGGGTATAACCGAAGTTTAAAACCTTTATTTATAACGGTGCCATGGCTTAGCTGGTTAAAGCGCCTGTCTAGTAAACAGGAGATCCCGAGTTCAAATCTCGGTGGCGCCTAATATTTTTTGATTTCTTTCTTTCGATTTATTATCTTTCTGGGATTACATTGCTCTTATCTTTTTAAATTACCTTTTTTACAAAAGAGGATACATAAATATTCATATATTTCGTTTAATTTTTAAGATCTAGGGGTAATATAAAAATATTCTTCTTAAAAAAACTATGGAGAATTATATTCCTGGATAAATTTTAATGGTCCTCATTGTTTTCTGAAATTTTTATATGAAAATTAATATAAGCTACTGACCGTAATTTTTCAAAAATTTGAGCCCGATATGATCCAAACTTTTTTTGGGATATAGTTTCAATCCCCCATAAAATAGAATTTGGATTGAGTAGAGAAAAAGAATTATTTATCAAGGAAAAGGGGAAAAAAATATATAAGCGTTAGAGGAATTATGGATTTTTGTAAAAGCATCAAGAGTGGGCCGAATTATGAAATCATGATCCGCCCTAGTCGAGGCCGAGGGAATGTACGTTTGAGAGATTCGAGTGCGGTCGGATAGTTCTATTAAAAAAGAGATGTAGTTAGAACTTATGTGTTTATCAAAAATACCAAAGCGTTTGCTTTATCAACCTCAATATTAATTGTTTTAATATATTTTTTCCCCTTTGCCAAACCAATTTTTTAAAAAACATATTTTTTTAAAATTATTATTATCTTTATCTGTTGTTACATATCAAAAAAAAATACAATATTAAAACATAAAACTTATTGATTCTTATAAATAAATAAAAAACAATTAACCTAAATGATAATCAATATGAATACTAACTAAATAGACGAGAGACGAGCTCATAAGATTTTCCCATCGATTTAAATTGATATAATCTTACAAGATAGTTTTAAAAATCGGCCCGACACGGATTTTTAAATTTTTAAACCCGGTCCGGATATTTTAAGTCATATCGGGACGGGCTCCCAAATGGGCCTGCAGATTTCTGAAATAAATAAATGAAGAAAAAAAATAAAGTAGGAAATAAATGAAGTATAAATTGCTATATCGAATTCGATTATAAAAATAGATCGCACACATTCTCCATTACTGGGTTTAGATTAGAAAGATTTTTAAAAATTATATTATCTAAACCTAAAATTCATATATTTCTTTTTCTGGAACAAGTTGAAGTATAATAGCGCAAACCTAATTAAGCGTTTTCGAAAACTAGTTTGCATTTTATAAATTATAGCTGATTAATTTGCACGATACCATTTGAAATACGATGCAAAGAAAAAAAATCATATGCCTTTCAAGATATATTTTTTTTAAACTATTTTATATAAAAAGGGATTCCCATAATTCTCTAAAAAAAAGGATTTCTTATTTTTTTTATACTTAATCTTTCTAACAATTGAAGATTACATATTACAATTACAACCCTCAACCTTTATACATAACGTCTCGGGTCATTCCATCACTTATGGATATGCTGCCTTTCATAAGTCGAATAAAAATAATAAGCAACGTCCATTGCAATGTGAATTCTCCAAATATAATTATCGAAACTTAATTTAAATTATCATATATTTTATTTGAATTTAAGAGTATCGCCTTTAACCATATTTCTTATTTTTATTCTTATAACATAATTTGAACATCAATTTTTACAATAATCAATGAATGATCCTTTTTTTACAATTTCTTTTTCAATGTAATAATAATAATTAAAAATATTATAATGTATTTTTATTAATATGTCAATTTAAAAAATAATCACATTTGTTAGTATAATAAACTCGCTAAGTATTCGCCATCGCTTCCGGCCAATTACACATTCCTACCACTAATCGCCACGACTCTAACGTCGTTCGGCTCTCATGCCCTGGCCTTCTTTAAAGAGCTGGGGAAACGGATCTCTACTAGGACCGAAGATCCCAACGAGGGTTACTACCTACGCCAAAGATTAGCCCTTAATATAATAAAATCCAATTACCTCAGCTTCATATTCTCAATGACTGATACCCCCTAATCACAGAATCGGCGATGAGAAGAGCAATTAAGAACAAGAGAGGGATATTCAGATGGAAGTCAACAAAAGAACCAAACCCTAATCACAGAATCGGCGATGAGAAAAGCAATTAAAAACAAGAGAGGAATATTCAGATGGAAGAAGAAAAACTGAAGGGCAAACTATGAAAACTCATAATTCTTTTAAATCATATGCTCAATTTATTATATTAATTTACTATATATTTATTTATATTATTTAAATATATTATTATATCCTTAAAAGATATACTAACAAATGTGCTCTTTCGAAGTTAATACATCTGTTAAGAGAAATTATTTACATTATGAGAATACAACAATGCCCAGATGGCTTGAGTCTAATTCGCGTGAAAAGTTTCGGTTTCTAATCTATTTCTACAGAAGAAGAAAAAAAATCTTTCCAGGTGGGGCATGGATCAGATTCTTTTTTATTTACTTTGGATCAAACAAAATTAGTTCAATTCTAAGTTACTTCAACTTTAATGGAATAGAGGAGGGATTGGCGAAACGAATTCTGGGAATCCTTTAACAAAAGCTTATCATTTTTGCTAACTTGTATTGTACAACTAACAGAGATCTGTAGGAGCCAAATTTAGGGCCAGTCCGGCAATTTTGAGCTGTATTTTTCATCGTTTTCCGATGCATCTCGGAATTATCAAATTTTATTTTGCTAATTCTTACTAAGGGAAATCTGAAATATGAGCATTAAAATTAATATTATACGCTCCATTATATAATTTTCTAACTGATTAATTGATATGATCAAAAAAAACTATTTAAATCGTGTCGGACCGGATTCTTAAAATCATGCTATCTTTCAAACCGGGTTCCAAAACGGGCCTGCATGTCTGATAATAAATAAATTTTTTGATGATTTAGGAAAACTTAAAAAAAGTATTTTTTTTTTTTACCTAAAATTAAAAACTTTAAATAATGTTTGAAAGTCAATGATAAAGTAGAAAATGGTTTTAAAAGAAATAAAATAAAAGTTACCATGTTACATTTGATTTGTCTCCGTGAACTTATTATTTATATAAACATATAAATTGAGATCGAAACAAATAAAAATAGAAAGAAAAGAATGAATGAATATAAAAACAAGTGATTGTTTTATATAATATGGGATTATTATATTTTTTTTATTATTATTGATTTTAGTATTTCTTGCTTCTTCTGGTGATTTTAGCCGCTCAAATAACGATAGGTGTGCTTGCCGCGGTTTACAGATCAGAAGTAATTATTCTCAGTCATTTTATTATATTTATAAAAACACATCTACGCGATATTTTAGTTTTTTTTTTTGCAATTTGAAAGGCAATCATTTTCTAAAAATGACCACAGAATTTCAGATATTCTTTCTCTATTTAATATTAATTAATACCCTTCCCCCACTTTTCTCGATATGTTTCTGATTAATTCTAGACATTGGATAGTTAAAAATCCATTCTTACTCGCAATCTCTCTAATTTAGCCGTCTAAAAACATAACTAAATAAATGAATTTTTTTTCTATGATCCTATATTATCATTGTAATCATAAATATATTTTTTTTGTCTGCCATCTTGAAGCATCTGATCGACTAAAGAATAAAATTAAATTTATTTTTTACACCCGAAATCTTTTATTTAAAAAAATCCCTATAGGATTTTTATTTTTATCTTTTCGCTATCTCTCAAATGTTATGTTCAAAAAGTAAATTAATTCTAATCCTTATCTTTCGATATTTTCTTCCATATCATTTAAGAGCTATAAAAAGTCATCTACTTTCTTTATCTTCTCATTTTATTTCCTGTTTATCTGAAAATGATTTTAAAATTCTATAAGTACTTGTTGATAGTGAGCAACCTTTTTAAATAAGTGCAATTATTCTAATTTTTCTGAACGTTTTAGTATATGTGAGTTATACCTATTACTAATATATCCCTAACGATTTTCTAATTGATTACATGTGTTGTGGTTTAATGTTCGATAAAAAAAATTGGTCTAGATTTTTAGTTCAAAAATTTCAAATGAATGAAGCTAATGACAACACAGAATTAAATGCTTTATGTCTCAAATTGAAGATGTCTTTATTTTAATGACTTATTTTAAATAAACCTTGATCTATCTTAAAACGATAATTATTTTAAGAAGTTCTAAAATCATCTTTTTTTTAAATTTATCTTTCTAAATGAAAATTATTTTTTACACGGAATAATTCAAAATATTTTTATATTATTAAATATCATATTAAAACAATTTTTAACCCAAATTATTAATTCACTTTGAATTTGAAATCAAAACTTTTAAAAATTTGTGGATGTACGAAAATGTTCAAAAATAGGGATATCTCAAAACGGTATTCTCATAAAAAATGACCCAAATTATTTGCATAATATTGTTAAGTCAAAAAATTATGAAGCTAAAAAAAGCAAATAAGTATTATCATTATTGCAATTTAAAAAGTATGTGTTATTTGTTATAATCCCACCCCCTACCTAGGTAACGAATTGTTTATATTGGGAGAAAATTAAATAAGTAAATATTTGTAAAACTGTTGAATGAATTAGATAATAAAAGAGAGTTAAGATATATTTTGGCGTTGATTATTTTTTTAAATTGAATATACCTTGTAAAAAATCAATAAAAAACCATTTAAATTATTTTATCTTAATTTATTTAAATAATACTTTAATCTTAATTTGGCCTATTAACATTTGAAGGGAAGAGACGTTATTTATTCTCATCCGAAACTTAAAATTTGAATTTTCAAATCTCACATCCGTTGGTTGTTAAACAGCTGGATTTTTGAAAACCGCTGACCTAATATTTTAGCTAAAAAAATTGCATGCCTGGAGATTTAGCTCGTAGATGGTAGAAAAATCTGGACATATCTCGATGCTTTGCTTAATATTATTTTGGCTAAAATCTTAATTTAAAATCAGTAAAATCGAGTCTTTTAACAACATCACTACATCCAAATCCAATCATAAAAAATATAATCTAATTAGTAGTTTTCTTAAATTTTAATTTTTTTAAAACCTTTATGAATAATATTTTTGTTGCTGATATATTTGCATTAAATGTTATATTTGTTTTACCAGAAAAAGTTATAATATTGAATATTTCCACTGATTTATAATATTTTTTAATCTTGAAAAAAAGATAAAGGCCAAAGTAAACACTAAAATGCGCGAGAACATCGCGAGACTTTATGGAGCAGACGATGGCAAAAATACTCTCTCAAAATCTATGGATTACCTTCACGTTTTGGTATAAAATTAAAAATTTATTATTTTTAAGATCTTATTTATTCTATTATGCTCAATTCTTTTAGGCCTGATTTTTTTCGCTTTTCTTACATCGATTATTATCTCTAGATTGATGTAAATAGTGGTTAAGAGTTGACCAACAGATAGAATTATTTCATACCCACCAACTTAAAAAAAATATGCTATTATTTTATTTAACCAGTTTTTATATCATGTGAAATAGTGCATTATCATTTTTTTAGCAGAAGAGAATCATATTATAATTTTTTTTAAATAAAAAATATATATACAAAATAATAATTTAAGATTTCTTTAGAAAAAATAACCTTTTTGATTGATGTGTTATTTTAGAGGCCGAGTGAGCTTGTTCTTTTCACGTTGCTTATAAAACACATTAGATTTTTTTTGTACAAACCTGAGGTTTATGCGTTTTCTTGCGTTGTGATTATGTATAATCAATTTTATACACGGAAATTTTAAAAAATAGCTAAATGAAATTTTTGTTGATGTATAGTTTAAATATTTAAATTTTTTGTCTATTCATTTAATGTATTATTAGAAATAATATCACATACAGTTTCTTATACAACTGATGCTTTCAGAACCTTTTTATATATTTATATTTGTTCCGTACAATTTATTGGCTCGCTTACCTTTTAATTGGACTTAACGTAGATCTAGATAGCATACATATTTAATTTTTTTTATTATGGGGGAATCCTAATTAATTTTTTTGGCAATTTTTTCAAGCTATTTCTTAACTATATTCGTTTATATATTTAATTGTTATCAAAGTTAATAATGATGAAATCCTTTTATATTTTATTTTAATATGAAATTTGTATATTTTAATAAAACGAATAATTAATGCTAATATAGTTTAAAATAAATAGACACCTAATTAATATATTTGTTTCATATTTTCCAGTAATAATTATATTTCTAACACATATATGATATTACTCTATTAATATGATTAGTTGTAAAACATTTTTTAAATATTTTTAACAACTTCCGTATAAAATTGTTTAACTTGTCGTAATTATTGTAAAAAATATTTTGATAAAATTTTTAATAAAAATAATAATTACGGCCAAAATTAAACAATTTTATAAGTTGCTAAAATATATAGAAATGTTCATATTAATACTTGTATTGTAAGTTATATAACAAATAAGTAAAGTATAAAATTAACAAAAATTCACATCTCGAATGTGAATAAATTAAATAAATAATGTGACTATGATGGTTCAATATATGCCGAAAAATTGAAAGACTAAATAATTATGGGAGTAGAACTTGTGCAATACATATTATGGGGAAATGGGAAACTAGTATAAGAAAGTGTTTTAAAGAAACACTTATAATTTTCTCTTGGAATCTCTAATTGCGTTTTTTTGTTTTAGGAAAAGGGACCTTCCTCATATTTATATGTGGTCTAATAGATTTAAAAATTTTAGGGATTGGGGAGCGGGATTTCCCAAAATACTAATGATTAGGGAAATAGAGATGAAAAAATTTAACAGGTACCTATTATTAGACTTTTTGACCTCTTGAAGTCTCAAGTCAAGAGGTCACAATTTCAATTAGACGAAAATAAGGCAATGCTAACCACATCCCAACACGCCTTCCCCCCTTCATAAGAAGTACGCGAAAGATATGCCATCAGGACGCTTAATATCCTCATTTAAAAGGCCTAAGAGCTCCAAACTATTTGGAAAATTGTTAGAAATTAAAGATTTACCTATCAACTTATTAAGATTTTCGTGCCGCTAAAAGTGGCCGCTATATTTAAGATAAGAGAAGTTATGCCTACTAAATGGGTCTACCTAATTGCTACATGAAACACAAGAGTTAACCAAAGAAATAAAACAACCTGGCCAATGGCGATTTGAAACTCGTCGTTCATGAATAACATCTTCCCTTTCCTACTTGGAATAGCGTCTAGCCATTCGTTGCCATTAGTATTTTTTTTCTGTTTAGATCAGAAAACAAACACAATTTCTCAAATTTACATTAAAATATGAACTAGGCAATTCATTAAATTAGTGATCTGCATCGGGCCTAATATTTTCTAGCCCGGCCCGAATTTATTTAAATATAGAAAAAAAGCTGAAATGACGTTAGGTATAGGACCGCAAAAGAGCTGTCATCATGACATTCATTTGACTTTTTACCAAATAATCAATAACTATGGTAAGAGGAAATAGGATCGGCTTGCTAGATTTCCCTCTTGGGAAAATAAAGTAAACTCTAAATCTTTATTATCAGAGGAAACCATAGCAAGATGTGAGTAATTACCGTATTTAGGAAAGTATATTAAAAAAAGGCAAGAACAAACTTATGGATGCTATTAAAGGCATTTCTGAACTAATTTACAGAAAACCTTATATGACCACTTTTTATAAAATATAACGTGAGAGGCAATTCGCAACTACCCTTTACTCCTAAATCTAACTGGAAATGAAATAAGAGGAACTGGACTTCGAACGAACTGTTTATTATGACCTTGAAGACACAAGGCTTGTATCAAATAGAAGAGGAACTTCCTGTATGGCATTCATTTAAAGATCTAAGCAATATATTAATAAAAATATTTGGCATTGGATTAAGTCAACAAAAAAATACTGACCTAAACCAATCGAAACAATTTGTTGTTCCTTTTTTAAAGGACTTTAGGCACTTAGACTTCATATCCGATAAAGAGAATAAGAGGAGAACCATGATAGGATGGGGCGCCAATGGATGCTTTTCGAAAAGTTATTGGAAAGTATTGACATTGATAGAGTAAAAATATAATCAGATATCAATTTGCTACGAAAGGAGTTAGTATATTAAATGAGATACGGTAAAAGTTGATTTTTAGAATAATATTATAGGATTAAAAACAAGTTGTTATTAAAAAGAATAACTATTGCATGTTAAAATATGACAGTTTTGGCTTCCTATCTTTTAATATTACAATTCTTTGACCATTTTAAACGCAACGTGAAAATTGTAAACCCCGACGAGCTCAAATATTATATAACGATTATAAAGTTTAGATATCAGTAGTATGGACTAAGAAAAATGTAATTTATTTGAATATAAATTAGGTGATTATATTATCTGGCATATCATTTATTTCATAACGGCCTCTATATGTTTACAGTTTTTGTCTAGTAACTACACAAACACTACATAATATAACTAAATTAATCAATCTTACATAACACCATTTATATTAATTTATAAAAGTATTGTTAAATTTCTATATTTTATTCTTAATTCATAAATTATCAGGCTACCTGCTGCGGAATATACGGCCCTGGAGATTTTAAAAATACACCTTGGGCTGCCGCCAATCCCAGTTGGAAACATCCTCAAACATGTTGTGTTATGCAGAAGCGAGATATTGATGATTTCGTTATAGCGGATATACCCAAGTGTCGGGCTCAGACTCCGGGTTATTATTATAGCAAGGTTACTTTCTTTCATTACATTTTTAAAATATTAATTAGTTTACTTTCAATCAGAGAACCGAATTAAGTTAAAAATCATTTAGATATTTAATTAAAACAATTAATTATTATAATAAAATAATGAAAAAAATAACTTATTATTTTAAAATATGGTAACAAAAACTTTTAAAAAAGGCTTTCTAATTTGATTACAAATAATTCCTTAGTAGATACGGTTCTATTCAAAAACTAATTGAATATTTGATTCGTTTTGAATAATTCAATTTGAATAATAACAATACGAACAGTATTTATATATTTTGTTCGAATACGAATATAATAATTTGATTAGAATAAACAAATAATTCGTTTTATTTGAATTATTTAGAATAATTATTAATGTTTTTTAAATAAAATTTAATCATTTGTCATTTCTATGCTGATAACCAGAATCTGACGTGATGTGATTAACAAGGTACAAACTGCCATATTTTTAGCCGGTTAGACCAAGTTTTTGGCCGAAGTCTATCACTTTAGCCCGGGAGTTTTCTTAAAAAGATAGCAGCTCAAATTTGGGAAAAACTAATATAACTTAAAACATCTTAATATTAATGGATTTTCTCCGGCAGACGCCTGAAGATTAGGCCAAATTGGCCGACATTTAGCCATTACTCATATATAACTTGGGACTAATTTTCTGACAAAAAATCGCATATCTTGTCAAGAAAAATTGGCTTGGCATTATTATTTAAGTTAATATACATTTTGATTTCGTCAATAACTTGCACATGTTCTTTTTCATCAGAATATTAATAATAATTTTATCCACTTAAATTTAGATGTGCAATAAAAAAAAATTCTATCAATTATATTATCATATGAATTATTTAATTATTTTTAAAAATAACGAAAAATTTGAATTGAATACAAACAAGTAAATTTTATTATTCGTACGAATACGAATGTTATTCGTTAAACGAATCGAATTGAAATAATGCATATTCGACTCGTTTTCGAATAGGCCTAATATGAACAAAAAGATTTTTAAAATTTTTTAAATAACAATATATCCACAAATATATTTATATTATTTTAGGGGTGTTGGGAATCCATTAAATCCTGGGTCAACAATCAATCCATTATTTTGATAAGCGTAGGCTTAGGAATCGCATTTTTGGAAGTAAAAAAAATTTTCCTTGGGCTAAGTCTAGAATATTTCAAAAGTTTTATATTCGATTTCATTAGAGTTTTAAAACAATTCGAATTTTAAAAAAAAAGATTTTGGACTTGGCCTTATACTAGTAGGTTATTTAAACAAAGCATGGATAATTTAAACGTTACTAATATTTGAATTTTGTGCTATTATAAAATATAGTTTTGGGGCTTTTTTAAATTGATTTTGTAAATTATCTAAATATTACTTTTTTTGGTGTCGTATATATTTGAGTTATATCAATTAGATGATTTTCGTATTTCAAGCCTAGTTTCGGAATAACGCAATTTTTAAAATTTTTAGAGTTTTTTCTTTGGCTTTGACGATTATTTTCAACGGGTTTGAAATGAAAACACATTTTAAAAAGATTAAGGGAAATTGAAAGATTTAAAAAAAAAATCAAGAATGTACTATTTATTTTTTTATAAAAACTGATACTGTTAACTTTAATTATTTTTTGTGGTGTTGTTAAACAGCTCGATTTGAATTGATTTAAAAAACGGCTAACTCAATATTTTATCCAGAAAAAAAATATTGCCTAAATCTCAAGATTTCGCTAATAGATGTCCAACGACCAAAATCTTCAAGCTTGCATAATATTTTTCTGGATAAAATATTGAGTTAGCCGTTTCAAAAATCGGCTCAAATCGAGCCGATATTTTAGATTTAAATTTTTTTAAAAATATATACTGCTCTGTAATATTATTAAATTTTCTCAAAATTCTTATCTAAAGATATTCGGAATGATTCTCTCTATATGCCTCTGCCGAAACGTAAATTACGATTGATAAACTTGCGTCAAGAAAAACAAAATCAAAAATATTAATAGTATTTTTTTTAAATAGACGAATTATCATCGAGAAATATTATATATTTTTTTTTAATTTGAAAGGAAAAATAAAAAATTGTGGATATATTCCTTAAGCATAGTTATATATATATTTTTATAAATTTTGATGAAAGTCAGCTGATATGGTGACTCTTTGGAAGTTATATCTCTAGGAATGATAGAACTAAATCACCGAAACTCAACTTTTTTTGACAATAATTATAAAATACGCATAAATTTATATAGCATATTATTTTTAAACGAATAAATATATTTTTTTAATCATAAATATTACAAAAACTATGAGTGGAATTCTTAGCTTATGTTCTTTTTGCCTTATATCCTTTCTGCCTTTTTAAATTATATTTTTTTTTAGGTTTAACTGTTTTTTTTACAAAACATTCCAAATTTTAACGCCTTTAAAAAAAATTTTTTTTTAAATACTAATATAAATTTTATATTTTTCAAAATAAAATCTCAAACATTTAATTGCCATATTTCATATATTTGCATTTATTTAGCTTGCTATACAAAACCAACAAGTAAAAATTTAATTATCTTGGAAAAATATAAATTTATTAAAAACGAACAATTATTTTTTAATTAAATAAAGATAAATTTTTCTTAAAATAATTCTTATTTGCCATTTTCCTCTTTAAGTGTTTTAATCTATTTTTTTTAAATAATTTTTTTTTGCTACGAATTTATAAAACCAAATAATATTGCCAATTGGGGTTTTTTTCACATATACTAAATTGAATATTAGATGTCAGATCATGCGTTTAAATATATGACATTCACATTAATTTTATTTGTATTATATTTTTATGAAAACAAATAATAATTATGAAAATAAATCATTAAAATATGCGGATTTGAGGATTCCGGTATGAATTTTTTTTATATTTTCTAAAAATGAAGGTTATTATGAAATATCAGAATATATCTCCTAGCATGTCAAAAAATCTAGAAACTATCATTAGATTCTATTATTATAAATTAGAATATCCTATTTTAATTCTTACCATTTTAAAATAACATAGTCTTTAGTATTATCAGAAACTTATAAATTGATTTAATTTGAACGAGATAATAAGTTCAACGTAAATAAAGAAAATTGAAATTTCAGTTCCAAATTATTTAAATATTGATATAATTTATGTGTAAGGAATTAAATTTTATATTAGATCTTAAAATAGGATGAGAGAGAGACAGTATGTAGTGTTGTATGAGAAATGCGGTTGGGATGTTAATGAAAACAAAGAGATTTAAGGAGACTGGAAAATTTACTAAATTAGGAAATAAAGATGTGTGATGTAAAGTTGAAGGGCTTGCTTGTAAGTTTTGGAAGGAAGAAGATAAGAAAAGCAATAATAACCAGAGTGGTATCGGAAATGAAGAAGGCAGCGGAGGAAATTGGAGTGGAATGGATTACAGACCAGTGTAACTCCATCTTATGCAAAAGATGTCTTTCGACAGACTGGAAAAGAAGCGCAGTAGTTATACCGGTTCACACGGGAAGAGATAAGTTAGATTGTGGTTCATACAAACGATTAAGCTTTTGGAGCATGGATAGAAAGTTTTCGAGAGAATCAGAGGCAAGTGAAAATCAATGATATGCAATTTAGTTTTACACTCGGGAAAGGAATACGAATGCGATTTTCGCGCTAAGACAAATGGAAGAAAAGTATAAGGCAAAAGACACTTTGTTACGCTATAGTTTTATAGGCGTTTGACAGGGCCCCTCATATAGTTACTAAGTAAACTTTGAGAAGATTAGGTGTAGAGGGGTTGGTTTTGGCAGTGATGGCAATGTAGAATCCCCTTTGTTAGGACATGAAGGTGATAGCGAGAGCTTTGAAGTAAATGTGGGGCTACATTATGGGTCAATCTTTAGAGCCTATTATTATTTTTCATAGAAATTGAGGAGGTGACGAGAGAGGTACGTGGAAGGCGATCTTTTAACTTCTATGCTACCGGTTTGTACAGCTGCCAGCAGTGAAACAGGGTTAAAGGATATGCAATTAAAAGTGAACGAAGAAAAAATTAAGGTGTTGATTGGAGGTGTAGGATAAGAAAGAAACCAGCATAGGTAATTCAATTCAATGCAACAGTTGCCAAAAATGGATACATAGAAGATGTATTGGCTAGAACGGAAGTTTAATGCAGGGATCCGAACCGAACCGTTAAACCGCTATTTTTTATCGAACCTAAACCTCTAAAAAAATTCTAGCCGAACTTGAACCGAACCTCTAAAATACCTCTGCGGTTCGAGTCTCATAATTTTATGCTTATAAAATAATGTGTAAGTTATTATTAGTAGTATATTGCAAAAATTTTAATTATATTCAAATTGTTTTAAAAATTATTATCAATCACATTTGATTGATAAACATCAGTCATCATTTTTATAAACTTTAGTATATTGCCATTTTACAACATTTTTTAATATTTTAAGCTTATAAATTATAATGCCTAGAAAAAAATTAAATCTAATATATAAATTATTTACATATAGCATTATAAACGACACATCAAATCTGATATCATACTGGCAATGCCAGCTACCCAAGTTAGTATGGAAAGATGTTTTTCAACAATTAAATTTATATTATCTCCTTATAGATGTAATTTGAGTGAGACGAATTTTGAAAATATATTAATTGTGGGGCTTAATAAAAAAATTTTAAGTAATTGTTTTTATTAAAATTAATCATTGATATATTTATTTGTTATATTTATAAATTAAACATTATTTTATAATGTGCAATTAATAAAAATAAAAAAATTTCCTTATACATAATCTAAATGCAGGTATGAATACAAAAGTGTTCAAACCGGGTTTTAGAGGTTTGAACCGAACCGATATTTTTATTTTTTGCGAACCGAACCTGAACCTTGAACCGTTATTTTTATCCGAACCTGAACCGAACAGATATTCGTTTCGATTTGGATCCCTGGTTTAATGTATTCAATTTTTGGTGGAAAATTATTAATGAAATTGTTTAGTTTTTTTTATACTATAATTATTAGAATACAATGTAAAATGATTACCAACGTAAAACCGAAAACATAAAATTCAAAATTTCCGATTTAAAAAATATTTGAAACAAAATTTAGTTAATCCAATTTTAATATTTGAATGAATATCTTCAAATTTAAGATATAGCTCTAATAAATTAATTAAAATTAATCTTTTTTGAACTTAAATCCTTTCACCATTTTTTATTTTAGAAACAAAATTTCTTTTCCCAGGCATTGATCTACTATATTCATAATTGCTATAAAGTTTTGACAATAGCAAAGGTGACGGTATCTATTGTCTTAACGAGTTTAGGGTGTTGAAAAAAACCATTTTCTTTCTAAACCTTTTGATTTTAACCTATTAAATTCTTTTACAATTTTCAATTTGATGGCTATAATGTTAATAATCTATATCTATTTGTAATCCACAGCCGTGGGAAATTGATTTTTAAAGTATCTAGAATTTCATCGAATTTTTTATCATTTGATGAAGACAATGGTGTAATTTTAGTCGTTAAAACATTTTTTTACTCTTAGATATTTTTTTCTCTGGATATTTCTTTTCACCTAGCCTTTTTTTTTAATGGGAGATTCCCCTATTGATTTTAGGGATATACTTATCAATAGCCTCTTGATTAATTATATGAGTGGGAGAATCAATATCTACATTGTCATTTGAAGTATAAGGAATGTTTACTAATTTTTGTCGGCATGAAGAGCATATAAACACATGGTTGTGCATTTGACTGGTCAAATACATTTCGTTCAATTGACCGATGTTTGACAGGTCAAATATGGTCAAATTCAAATATATGTCTTTTAAGTCAATTAACTTTATTTTGAATATAATAATAAAATAAATTTATATTCTTAATTTTTTAAATTCATTGTCATTCAATAACTAACATTTAGCTCTCCGTAGCAGAGTCTTGTTCTGATTCATATTCAATATTATCATTTTCTTTAATATTTTTTAATAAATTTTCCTGATGTCGAGATCTTCAATCGATTTCTATTTTCATAAGAATATTAACCCATTGAATACACTATGTGAGATGTGCCTCTTGATATTAGGGACCCAAAAAATAAGCAACATTGTGATCACGTGTATTTATATCGTTTTCCCCCTTTTTAATCATATTTTTAATTTTTTTCTTTAGATTTTTAACAAAAGTATTTGACCGTATTTGACAAGATCAAATACTCCTCCGGTCAATTGACTGAATTTGTCCGATCAATTGACCGACTTGCCAACCTTGTATTAACATATCTAAATCTATTAGGTCATCCAAAGTAGAATCTTTCTTCTGCGGTAATAAGCATGTTTTTGTAGATTAAATGGGTTGCAACATTTTGATATTTTAACATTCGGCACGTCCATCAGTGATATAGAATAAAATTTTTAATTGATCTGCACCTAGAATATATGTTTTTGCAATCTCCAAATCCCAAATGTTATTGGTAAACAGACGATAAAATAATAGCAGACGGGTTGAATTAAATGAAAAACTGTCTTAATAATTTTAAATGGCATTTATTTCAAACAAAATTTTATTCAATCAATGTCAATTTAATCGTGTCAAAAGAGCTGGCAGCATCCGGGATGCTTGCTTGCACTTTTTATTTATTTTTGATATAATAATAATTACCATTACCAATAAGGCGACTAATTTAAATTTAATTACTTTAAATGTTGCAAACTGTTTTTTTCTTTTCTATAAAAAAAACCTAAAATATAAAATTAATAATTTTATTATATTTTTGACCACTTAAAAAATTTAGAACTACTTTGACAAACATTGAAAATGAATATAATCAAAAATCTTTTGATGAAACAATTTTTCAAATTAAGATAATATTTTAACAAGAATTTTAATTATCTACTACCTATTTATATACATAGCGAAATTTACCATATTAAATATATGAATATAGTTTTTAAAACTAATATAAAATTAAAATTGTTTGAAATTACTTGTCCCTAAAAACTAGACATTATTTATTCCTTTAGGAGAACCTCGGGCAAACGAAAATAATTAACGCAAAATCATTAGGCGAAAAATAGACAATGGAAACTTACAACATTAACGCTTATATTTATATTAAAACATTAGTGGATCAAAGCATTTATCTGCTATTTCATGTATTATATTTATTTAGAATTTTTGCTACACCCAAAACAAGCAACCAAAAATCTATGATTTTAAAATGAAAATTTAATTATCTCGGAAAAGTATAAATTACTAAAACTGATAATTATTTTTTAATTATTTTGTCTAAAAATAATTTTTATTTGGCATTTTCCTCTTTCGTCTTCAGATGTTATTTATATCTATCTATTTTTTAAAAAAATTTATTTCATTTTTTTGCTACGAAATTATAAAACCAAATAATATTGCCAATTATGTTTTAAAAAAAATTAAGTATTAGATGTCAAATCATACCTTAAACTTAAATATTAGACCTGTGCCACGCCGGCAATTTTATTCACGCCGGAAAAGCCGCCGATTGATATGAGCAGCACGGATAGGCTCGCTGCCTTTTTTTTGGCGGCAGCGCGACGTTTGTACTTTTTAGAATGCTATTTAATTATATTAATTTATTATTATTTTAATTTGGATATTAGCATTAATATATGTATTCTATTGACAAATAATAAAACAGTGTATATCATTTACATTCATTCATATTCATACATCATATTTCAAAATTACGCAAACATTAGTACATTTAAAAAAAAAATTATGGACACGTTTTAAACCACCCTAGTTTGTTTATTGCCAGCTCTAAATGATGTTTTTTGAGTATCTTTTTAATATATAAACTAAATATATAACTGATTTATTAAATTAATTTTATAAAATTTTATTTTTGAAAGTTTAAATTTGTTTCATTCCAGTTCTAATTATTTTAATGTTTTTTAAATATCTTTTTAAGGTATAAAATAATTATAAAATCTAATAGGGCGAAATTATGTTTAGATATGATCTTTAAATTTAATGCCATTAAACAATAAAGGAATAGCTGGTTTTCTAAAGGTTTAAAATTTAAATAAAATGATTATTAAAAAAATAAATTGTCTAAAAAAATAAAAATATGATATTCGATTCCTCGTCAGAATTGCCTGATAGGACAAGCATTAGTCGGGGTGCACTAGATGATGTTTATCATCTATAAAGGCGCATTTTTAAATCTAATTGATTCTGAATAAATTCTCTTTTATTTTTAATTTATGGACAGATAATTTCAAGCTTCGAAATTATATCACGTTTAGTCTTCGTCATTTAAATAAAAATTTTGATTTAAAATATTTGGAAACTAGATACGTGACACAAAAACATACTGGTGAAACCATATTATCTGATCGATAGTATAGAAGAGAAATTCCATTTAAAAAACATAATAATATGGTTGGTAACTAATGCTGGGGTTAATGTCAAAAGAAGCGCCAGATTAGGGGATTACGAGCATCATTTGTCCTTAGGGCATATACTTCATATTCTAGTTACAGTTGATCGCAAAAAAAAGTTTTCCGAATCAATATACTTGATTAAAAAAATTAGAGAAATCATTTCAGCTCTCAGATATTGAGTAGCTGATTTGGAATAGGAAATTGAGGATGAGCATCGTAAATGTCTGCAATCAATTTATGAGACAGACCATGTATGATATTGATGATTAGGATCCATACCTTAAGGAACATTAATATAAATTGCATATTACCAACAAATCCAATTAATTCGAAAAGCTCGAAAATTAAATTGCCTACTCACTGGCACAGTATATTAATTATTGCTTGTAAGTATCCGTAGTGTTAACAACATTTCTATAAATAATATTCTAAATAAAATAGGAAAACAATTCCTAACTTTTTAATAACGAATGAATATGAACTTTACACATTATTAAATCCATTCAGAGAATCGGTGTTTCCTCTCAATAGGGATCAATAATAAATTAAGTATTATTATTTCACAGTGAAATAGAAGCACATATACAAACCAGTAAATCTGATTGTTCAGATATCATTTGCCTAAAAGAAAATATACAAAAAAAGCTAGGCAATAAGTTTCCAAATACCAGACTTCATGTAATTTATATTATATTATATTTTAAATTCGAGATTTCGAAATTTTTAGATTGTTTCAGAATACTTAAATTCGAATTCTATGACATCATTGCAATTTTTAATTAGACATTTAAAACTTTGAGCATGATAGAAATGCAGAACGAGATCCAAGGTGAAGATAATGGGCAAACATCTAGTTTAAATATCGCAAATATCCCCTTCCAAGCAACGATTATAGCAATACATAGCAAGAATGCCATATTTTGCTCAGCCAACATAGTATACCAGAAGAGGATTTACTAACTTTTTGAAAAATAAGCGACTGGAACTTTCTAGACTTACTAATTTAGATAGGAAGGTTCTTTGTATATCTCAATCAGTACATCCAGCGAAAAAATTTTTGCCATTGCTGGATTAATACTCAATGCAAAACGGATTTCTTTATGTCCCGCGAATCTTGATAAAATACTATTTATTCATGAAAATTATAATTTTGCTAAGATTTCTGATTTATTATATTTCATATTTTGCTTGCATTCCAAATTTATATTTTAATTTATAATAAAAATCAATAGAATGTTACTAATATGTGTTGTTTATATGACTCTGATATGAGTGATAATACAATTCCTTAGTTTATTTCTGAGAATGAGAAAATACATTAATTTAAATTGGAGTGAGACAGGAATACATTATATTAACGATGTGTTTGAAAAGAGCTATCAAAAAATTATAAAAAATATAATTCATTAATTTTTTTTAATAAATAGCGCGCTGCGGCGCCTGCAATTTAGTATGCACTGGTGAAATTGACACGCCGACGAACGTCGATGAGAAATTAAAAAAGACCACCGCCGGCGGGTGAGGCTTCGGCGCACAGGTCTATTAAATATATGACTTTGTTTATAATAATATTTTTTTATAAAAAAAAATTAAATTTTTTATATCTTTTTTTACATTTAGAATGGAACATAATTGAAATGAGTAATGTCGTATATATTGAATCCGTAGGGATTCGCAAAATCATTTACTGAGACCGATTTTTAAATCTAAATCTAAAAAATCTTATTGACCGAAACTCTATTCCAACATGTATAAAGTAGTGTTATGAGCGGTCCGATTAAGATTTTAGTCAAATTAATATTATGCAAGCCTGAAGATTTTGCTCATAAGTGGCAGAAAGGTGTGGCCCTCTATTTGCCAAATCACGAGGCTTACAATATATTATTTTGGCAAATATTTTAATTGAGCCGTTTAAAAATCGACCCAAATCTAGAGTATATAGTACCCACACTGTGAATTTCAGACAATTTTGTCTAGAACTGTTGAAATATATTTAATTTATATCCGTTTTTATGTAGATTTTTATATAAATGGAAAAATTAACAAATTTTCATGGTGAAAGTTGGCTAAATTTTATAGGATAGGTATTCTAAATTGCTGGAATATATTCCAGTGGAATTAAATTTTTTAAATTTCATCTGCAATATATGATATAAAATTGAGAGATTCCGATTATAAAATATTTTTAAAGAAAAATTTAAATAAAATAAATTATTCTTTCACGAATATGGGAAATAATTTTGTTTTATGCATCATTTCTACATTGTATTGTATCAATTATAATATAAAATACATAATCGCATTTTAGTCAGGAGTGTCACAAGATTTTAATTTGCGGGAGTCGAGGGGGGGGGGGGGGCTCTTAAAAATATTGACATGCACATCCCATTTTACCTTATTTATTTCATACTATATAAATTTAATTTTGATATCTGAACATCTAAAGAGATTTTGTCATAATGAAAAACTGTCGTAATCATTTTGAAAATTATAAAATAAACGCGGTTAACTAATATGGCGACTAATTTACATTCATTCATTTAGCACATTCGCTACCGCCAGCTAAGAAGAACGCACGTATCGCGGTTTTTTTTGTCACAAGGAATCCGACAAATGATTTACATTTAAATTTTATATTTTAAATTTTTAAAAATCGCTCTTCCTTTCTATAAACAAATTATTTTTAGTTAAAAAGAATAGATTTAAATTACAAATATAATTTTATCATATTTTGGCCATCTTTAAAAAAAAATAGAATATTCACCTTGAAATAGAAAATACATTTAATCATGAGTCTTTTGACGAAACAATTTTCTAATTAAAATAATATTTTTAATAAACAAAAATTTTAATTATCGCCTACCTGTTTGTATTTATACCGAAATTTACCATCCGCATCAAACATTTATTTTTCATAATTTTGAATTAATTTTATTTTAGAAAAAATTATTTATTTTTTGTCACCTAACTATTTCTTCTTAATCAATTTTCATTTCTTACAAGATTTTTTTTTTAAAAATAAAATATTTTGTAATTTTTTTTTGTAAAATTAAAGTATTCAATCTGAATGCCCTTCTCAAAGGTGAAGAAAAACAATATAATTTCTTACTTTTCTAAGTTTTACTGTAAATTCCAACAAGCTTTGAATAAATGTAAGGCACTTTTTTAAAAAATTTGTAAATTTTTTTTATATTGCATGTTTTAATTATTGCTAAAAGTATATTATAGTAAAACGTCCTAATTTTGGAAATTTAGGGCCAGAATTCCCCTCCCCCAATTTTATATCCACCCAGATTCAGATTATCAAGGTGTTGTCCTAAAGAAAAATTGTTAATCCCTATTATCTTTAGTATTCTTGTTATCTTAGGAATTAGCATAGAAATATAAAATAATTCAAGGATTATTTTTTACGTTTTTCAAAAATGAAAATCTTAAAAAAAATTTTAAATAAATCTTTGAATATTTTTTCTTAAAATATGTGATTTCATTTTGAATGATTTATTGTCCATGTAAATTATAAAAGTAATTTTTATTAAAGACATTTGTAATTTTAGGTAAAATTTGATCAAAAATCTTTCTTCTTTAAAAAAATCTTCAAAATTTTTGCTCAAAAGATATTTTTCAAATTCTGGAAGAATTAAATTATTAGAATTTAAAAAGTGATTAATAGATTAGAAATAAAGTAAAAAGATAAAATATTCTCTAAGGAACATGTTGAATACTTACAAATAATTAAATATTTATGAATACCAATAGTTTCGAATATTTACGAATAATGTAGAAGATACACTATAAATTTTGAATAATATTAAGAAAACCAAATTATACGAATAATTTCGAAAAGATCGATCGAATAATGGATAAAAAATTATTCGACGAATAATATATTTTCCTTATTCGTATTCGTAAAATATGAATCGAATCAAATAACGAAAAATTTGTGTTTAGGTATAATATTCCGTGATTCATTTTAGATTTCTAGGGTTTATTTATTGTTTAATGCTACCGTGAAAAATTAGAAAACCAGATTTCCTATCCTACTTTCCAAAATCTTAGGAACCAGAACCATTTAAAAACAATATGTAGAACCGATACCCGAACCTCTTTTAGTCCAGATTCTAAATTTTGATGTACTAATAGCAACTAACTTTTAGCAGCTTCTGATTTTAATGCATTTTATGATTTGAAAAAAAAAATCCTAAAAAGCCAGAATATTCGATAATTTCCTATTCGAATGTTTAAAGGAAATTTGGTACTTAATAACACTTGGATTTTCAATGGCGCTTCTCAGTTTCTCCATCGATTTTACCATGGCCCAATTTTTAAAAGGTAGTTGATACATGAGTTTATTGATTTAATAATTAATTCTCTATTTAATTTGAATTTTCCGCTAAAATGATAATTCAATAAGAAATTTTTGTTCCGGACAGACATTGATTCTTTGAATCGGGCTATTCACCAGATCCTTTTGAAGAGAATTAGAAGCCTGCAATGGGCGATTTTTTTTAACCCAAAAGTCCACCTACCCAATAAATCTTTTAATTTTCTAACCCATGTTTTAAGATAATTTGATTGATATGCAATGTTATAAAATGAAAAATAAATTTTTAATAAATATAATCATTCTGCTCAATTCCCCCGAATAAAGTTTCAAATTTAATTGCCCTCTCGCCTAGGAATAAAATTTTTAATTTATCCACCACCAAGCCCAATGTTTAAAATGTTTAATCCGCCGTCGCATACTTCTAATTTGAATATCATACAATTTGAAAAAATATTGAAACATCAAAAATACAGTAGACAACTTATAGTAAGAATGAAATAAGATCTAATTAATGGTCGAGGAATTCATTTGGATATGGCATACCAATAATATTTTAATTAGTATAAATATTACTATATAAGTTTCGATAATCATTTTCCTGAAAATGGTTTGCTAACTAATCCTCAAGTTTTAAATTTTTAAAAATATCTATGCAGGTAGATCGTTATCTTATGAAAAGTTGGCAGGATATGTAACTGGCCAATATGGCGTTTGGATTGGATATGTGATTTTGCTTTTGATAGTGCCCGCTATCTTGTCCCATTATTTGAGTCCCTACTCTATAGGTTTTATTAATAATTGATTAACATTTATTATTAATTTTATACCTCCTTTCGTTAATAATCTAAAACATTTAAACATTTAGTCTATTTAGACAAAGATGGTGCCCTACCCTCCTATATTTACATCCTCCTTATCAGAGGGCCATGCTTAATTGCCATTTTTAATTAATACATATATTTCTTATTATAAAAAATGGTTATAATTGTAAATGCACTGAACAGATCAAAATATGAATTATAATAAAATTAAAATTTATATAAAAAATAACATTATTTATTTATTGTAAAAGTAAATTATCTTCTTTTAGCTAGAATCTTATGGTAGAAAATATTGAAAGCTATCGCATTCCTTAGGGGAGATAGGGGATGGTATGAGCCTGTGGTAAACACCCTGTACTCCTAAAATACTTAAAACTATAATTCACAATATAAACATTTTATAAGGCAAAACATGATATTTTTTACGCTAAAGGTAACTCTTTAATAAAAAAATGATATTATATAATTAACTTTAATTGGAAATTATCCAATATAGTAGAAAAAAATGTTTATGTTAAATTTTGCATTAAATAAAATCTATTAAAGAGAACTGAAATTTTCCAACTAGATCCGGCTTATGGTTAAAATTACTCATTGGTTCTCTCCTTATAAAACTGCCACTTCCAAATAAATTTAGAGATCTAAGCTACTTATGCATATATGTTGGATCAATAAAATGAAACAACATGATTTGTAAATAATTATTTTTAAAGTTATGGGTGTTTTTAAAATGAGGCTGTTAACTCACCCCATCCCTAATAGTGAACATTTTATCAATTAATTATTAGTCCCCTCCCTAGCGCTATCCATCTCATTCACCAAAAAAATCTTAATAAATAACAATTCTTAATCCCTATAAGAAAATTCATTTATATATTATTTAGGTTCCGGAATACCAGAAATTAAGACCATCTTACAAGGCTCTAAGATGGACGAAATTTTTACCATATCAACTTTAATCTCGAAATCAGTAGGCCTTATATTGGTGGCTGGGAGTGGAATTCCAGTCGGGAGAGAAGTTTGAGAAAATTTTAAATTGCATCTATAAATAACAAATTAAAAAAAAAGATTATAAGGAATCACTTAAGCTTGGTTTAATTAAATTCATATTAATTGTAGAACAGTTTTTATGTATAATCAATATTTAATATTTAATATAGTAACTAACTATTATAACTATGATTTATTAAAACTAATTTTATACCTCTCAAAATGGAATTTGCATTTTTCAAAAATGCAATTTAAAAAAAAAGGAACAATCTTATCAATATTAGTTTGGTAAAAATCTTAATTTATTACTTTTTATTAAAATTTACAATTCTAATAATGCGCATGAGCGTTTGCGTGTTGGCGAACTTTTTTAAAATAGAAAAAAAACGCATCCTTTGTTTAAATCGAGGTATTAATATCGAATCGATTCAAAATTTGGTAAAAAGAGATGGTTCCTGTAATTCATATTATCGCCTGCCCTTTTATTTCACAATATTCCATTTTAAAAAATAAGTTGTTTTATTACATTTTACATAATATTAAATTTAATTTGTAAATGATTAAACTACTAAGAAAGGATTTTTAGTGTCTTCCCCTTATTATTCTTATCTGGGTAATAAGGTTCTGCCAACTGCAAAAAATTAAAGAACGAAACCAACGTGCAAAATGAATGAATAAAAAAATATTGAAAAAAGCAAACCAGTTTTTTAAAATGATTTCTAACGCCAAGGTGTCTTTTGACTAATTTGCACGATACCACTTGAAAATTTTCCAAGTGCAACGCTGCGTTTTATACACTTAATTTGTGCGAACTATATGGGTCATAAGCGCAGCCTAGGGGGGGCGTTCAAAAATCTGCCTCTTCTTCCTCGTGATTAGCATTTTAGGTTAATAATAAAATTCCTCCACACCCCCTTTCTCCTTAAAATGCATACAATATCTTTAAACAATAAGTAAAAGTTAATAGTTAATAATGAATATATAAAAAATTTTAAAAAAAAAATCATTTTTATTGAAAAAAAAATGTAAACCCAGTAAATATTTATTAAAAAAAATATGGACTTAAAGAATTCCAATAAATTTTATGAGGAAAAAGATTAACCTAATAGTGATTCCTCCTCCCACCCCATCATTTGCAAAATCCTGGCTAACCTTATGCTAAGGGTTATTTGAAGGTTTATATTTAATTCCAATTATTATTTCTAAAAGCTGATTTTTAAACAGAACGATTTTAGTTCCAAGGTTAAGTTTAATAAATAAAAAAAAGAAAAAGCAATATAGAATCAATTAGGCTTAATTTAAAAGGTGAAACAGTTACTATTAAAAATACTAATCAGGAATATGAATAAATATAAAAAATTTGGCTGAATCTATATGTGTTTTCTTACTTTAACATGGTTTATATATATTTAGGGACCATTCATTCATATAGCGTGTATATTAGCTATGAAGTTATATTCCTTATTCTACAAAAAGAACTTCCAGGTATATATGAGTTAATTTTATACAATTAATAAATAATAAAAAAGAAGGGTATAATAATTATTACATGAACGAATCATTAAAATAGAATGAGCTTTTGATAATATTCTCTCCTAATCTAGTTAATATCTTTTTAAAATGTATTTGGATTCGCATTATTGTGTATTCCATTTAAGCATATAAACCAGATTTTATTTATTTCCATTTATAAAACATTTTAGGAACAGGACAAAAAGAACGAATATCTAATATCAGCTTGTGCTGTTGGAGTGGCCTGCTGTTTCTCATCTCCCATTGGTGGTAAATTTATTTATAATATTTAGAGATTTCCCAGGAATAAGTTATCAATTGTCTTAAAAATGATTATTATATATATAACAATGACTTAAAAATAGGCAACTAAGTTAAGTTTAATATTAAATTACTTTTAGGTGTCCTATATAGCATAGAAGTGACATCGACATATTTCCCGGTTAGGAATTATTGGAGAGGTTTCTTTTGCGCCATCTCGGGAGCATTATTCTACAAACTCCTAGATATCTTATTTTACGGAAAAGGTATTTAATAGGAACTCTTTATTATATAGAAAAGAAAACACATAAAATAATCTAATTTTTTAAACAAACAATATGTGTAAATAAGCTAAAGCCCTTTCGCACCGCGGGGTATTTTACGAATCTAAGTGGAAGTGATATTTTTTCCCTTATACCTTTATGGTCTTAAATTATAATTTGTCTAATTTTACAACTTGAAGGAACCAGGGCGATCAAATAGTTACTTAAATATATTTGAAATAAAATGATACATAATCAATAAATTTAATGATCACCTTACTCATTCATGCTCAGTGTGTTTTCAAAAAAAAAAAATTGCCAGAAATCCTGACCATCTATTTTAAATCGAAATTTCTTTACAACATCTTACTTGGACCTCAAGAATTAGCTATATTCGTTTCAATAGGGTAAAATTACATATCTTTATCTTTAATCACAATTATTTGGGTTGTTCCTAAATTTGAACAAATTCTCTTAATACATAAGCAAATATATGAGTATGGATTCTGGAATAAATCATTCCAAAATGATGAACATAGAGCACCGTTCATAATTAATTTTTAATAATTTAGTTTGAAAAAAAAAATCTGTATTATATTTTGAGTTTCTGATTTTATTCCCCTTTAGTGAAATGTTAACTTGAAAATCAACTTACTTCACATTTGTCTTAAAGAAATTTTTACATAAATCAACGAATAAAGAACTTAACATTGAAATTGAATTATAGTGAAACCTCAATTTAACGTTTTTCCTCATTTATTGCAAATTTTCGATATCCGATAAATTTTACAAAAATCATGTTAAGTATTTGCGTAGTTAACCTTTTCCCTCATATAAAGTATTTTGTTTTAAAATCTTGGGTAATGTTATTGTTGTTTTTGATGACACTTTTAACTCTAACCTTAATAACCTAACTTTGTACAAAGAAAATAAAAAATGCTAATTTTTAAAAGAAAATAAAACAAGCCACCTCGCGAAATCCATATTATTGATTTCATATTTTGTAAGTATCATTTCAAACCTAATGTGAAATAGAGGTAAAATCAATTTTTTTAGGCTCGAGCTTGCCAGTGACAGTTTTTTGGATCTACACCCAGTCTGTGTCCTGAATTTATAAAAAAGCTTATAGGGAAAAAATTCTCAAACTCAAAATGTTTATTTATTTCACATTTTAATTTTATGCAATTTAAATTAAAATATTCAGCGATAACTTTGATAATTTAATGATGTTAATTAATTTTATTCTACTTATTAAAAAAAATAAGAAAATGTTAAATGTTTTCCCCCTCCCGAATAAAGGAAGAGTAGAAAGTAAATATAACATTAATATTTTGTGAGCCACGGGCCAGGCCTATTTTTTATTGATGATTTTACCACCGACTCAGCACTACAAGACTTTAATGTAAAGTATTTTTTTAAACGTAACGAGCATTATTTTAATATTTAAAAATTCCTAACAGTTGTAGGAATAGGAAGTAGTAGATGATAATTGTGATTATTTTTAAATTGATTGCCTATTTTGTATTTTTATTATAAATAAATTTCAAACCAAAACGATGTCTATCAAATTTTTAAAAAATAACTGACCCGTCTGACACCACGAAAACACAAAAATTTACTTTAATTTTTTAACATAATTTGAGCTTTATTTTATAAATTGCTATATGCTTTCCGAAAACTGTTATTATTACTCCCAATTACTACTAGTAGCTTTTAAAATCTAGCCTCCCTGAAAAACCTTAAATTAGGGGACTCAAGTAGTTCCTTTTGAAAAAAAGGAGGAACGAAGGTATCCATTCTTATTTGAAATTAAAACTTTTAGCAATCATTTCTAAAAGTGTTAATGTATTTTTTTTCTTCTTTTTATTAGTTAATTCATTTTTCTTATTTAATAAAAAACAATTATTCTAAAAAACGATTCTTTATTTAATTACTATGGTTGAATATGACTGATCTTGTAAACTTTCATTGACTTATTTATATTCCTTTTATATTATTAATTTTAGGTCTTTCTTAAATTTTAAAAATAGTGTAATATGCGGCCTTTCCGGTTCGGTTTTCATATTCGTTTACAAATATTACATCCTATTCATCAAGAGCGATAGAAGCATAAGCCGCTTTTTGATGGAAAAGTAAACTTAATTTGAAATATTAAGAAAATTTAATAAAATATAAATTTTAGTTTTGATATTGCGAGGTAAAAAGAAGATTTACATTCAAATAATAAATAAAATTTATACTTATTTATTTTATTTTCTCTTCATTTAATACATTATTCCTCAATTAATGATTGGTGTAAGATTAATTAAAATTTAGATAAAGATACTATTTTTAATATAATTTATATGATGTACTAAGAAAATTTCAACTTTTATGGCTGCCACCGTAAAAATTGATGCTTTTATACTTTTTCTTTAATATGCTGGTCGTCAAACCAGTATAAAAATGCTAAGAAAATAGATTTGATCTGCCCCTGAGTAAGAGTCTAATCCCACTTTGTTAAGTCAAACAATTTATTATAGTATACAGTTTAAGTTTGCAAAGTTCTTTTACTAATTTGAATATTTATTTTTTTTAAAACAGTTGGTGGTTATATACTTTGTTAGTTGCATTCATAATATCATCAGCCTCTTTTCCTGGTGGATTGGGAAAATATTATATCTCGGAGGTATACCTATTTTGATTGATTATTATATTATACCATCTCCATCTGTTTTGACGAAATTGAGCTAGAACTATGATGTATTCTTAATTAATCTCTTTCATCTATTTCAATCAAGTCATTAATTGTGAAAAAGTGGAGATATAAAAATATAATAATCAAAGTGAAATTTTATTTATTTATGTATCATATCAGATATTAGATTCATTATTATTATTATTCCTATAATGATAAAAGCAGATAATTTTTGATAGTTAAATATTCAAGGATCCTCGTTTACTACATAAATTAATATTTACTATTCAAAAAAGTTGTTTTATATATTTTATATAACTATAAGATGACCCAATCGGAACTGATAAAACACATGTTTTATAACATGTCTTTCAGCCAAGGACCGGTGTCTCACTATTCCTATTCCAATCATGAAAGCGGAGTATTAAAAATGGCGGAAGATAATAATAATGATTATTTTAGACTACTAACTTTGATAGTATATCAAGTAAACAAGTTCTTTTCTTACTTTATTTTAATCATTCATCAGATTAGAAATTGCATGAAATGCAATTTCATCACTTAAGTAGGAGTTGAAAGCGTGCATATATTTTCACTAATATATAGATCCCATACACAGTGGCGTAGAGAAATCGGGGGTTGAACCCCCCCCCCCCCCCCAAAAAAAAAACCTCCGAAAAAAAGATTTAAAAAAATTTTTTTTCTTATAACAAATAATTTTATTTAAAAGATGGTTTCAATTTATAAATAAAATTAAATACGATATGAAAATGAAATATATTTAAAAAAACAAATAATAATTTTTAATTTTAAATGATAACATGGTTTAAAAATATATATTAAAAATTATATATAAAATATTAAATAACAATAAAAATATATTGTAAATTTTTACTCGCATAGTTAAATTAGATATTTATAAATATAATAATAAAATTTATATTGTTAAACTAATTAAGTTTTAAAAATTTTAATTAATTTTTAAATTAAAGAAAATCATTTAATTTGGGAAATATGAAAGTAAAGGTGATCGCTAATATGTTTGGGATTAAAAATTTTAAACCTAGAGTAGTTTCTAGATAGTCCTATCGCTTAAATATTGATGCATCTACGATTGAGGATTTTTATAAAATAAATATTTTACTCCCCTTATTGATACATTTTTATTTCAATTAAAGGAAAGATTTATTAGTCACAATTTTATTTTCTTTTGCCGGGTGAGTCTAAAATACACTTGAAACGCGAGAGGATATTAAGAAAATCTCAGAGTTTTATTCTGATGAATTATCAGGATCGTATGATAACTTACTTTGTGAAGTTGAACTTTGGTATAAAAATTTTGACAGAATAGAGTACTCTTTGAGACCAAAATATGCTTTGCAAACCTCCATGTATAATTGCACTTTAGATTCCCTGCCTAATATCAAACCATTACTTTTTATCTTAGCTACCTTACCGATTAGCACCTGCACTAATGAAAGGTCTTTTTCCACTTTGAAAAGGTTAAAAATCTATTTAAGAAATAGCACCGGTGAAAGCCGTTTAGATTCGCAATATTAAATATTTATAAGGAGATTATTCTAGATAAAAATCTAGATGAATTAGTCAAATCTCAGAGAAAAGTAGACCTCTCTTTATAAATTCAAAAAATTGCTATATTATTATAATATGATCTTAGTCATAAAATTTTTATATTCAAAACGTAATTATAATGAATTAAGTCATAATATTTATATATTATACTATTTTTAATAAAAATATTGCATTTGCACTAAGAATTAATGATCTGCATCGGGCCTAATTTTTCAAGCCCGGCCCTGCCCAAAATTATTTTAAAAAAGTCCGAAATTTTTTTTAAAAAGTTTTGTCGCCGGGCCAGAATTTATTTAAATATAGAAATTCATTACTTAAAATAAATAATATATTATATGTTATACGGCGTCTAGTTTTTATAAATAAAATCAAATATTTTTATTTTCCATAAAAAATTTCACATAAAATTGATATATTTAAAAAAAAATCCAAGGCCCGACCCAACCCGGCCAGAATTTTTTTTAAAAATATTAGGCCCGAACCCGATTTTTCTACTTTTGCAGATCTCTAATAAGTATTATTTATGTTTTATTAATATACTCATTTGTATTAATTATAAATTAGATTTTTTTAAATACCGCACAAGAATTACTCATTTTTATTGTAATTCTATTTTTTTTAAATATAGTTATTAAGAATAAATTTTTAATATAATCTGTATAAAATTTTTACATTTTGGAATTTATTTTATTGTATAAATAAAATCTATAATGAAATTCTCTGCAAAATTTTGTCATATGCAAAATAATTATTTTTAACATAGAATAAGTTATATTGAGTGATCATAAAAAATGGAAGGTTTGGGAGGGGGGGGGCGATTTTATTCTTCTTTCTACACCGAATGGATTGAATTAATTTACAATTGACTATACATTGAATAAGTTTTCAGAATAATGCTTTCAGTTGCGTATTAATCATAAATTTGGCCAAAATTTTGCTACTAATATTTTTTCATTTATGCTGGCGTGGCTACTATAGTGGCTAGACACCAATAAAGCACAAAATTGGCAAATTTTTAACATGCAATTTGGAAGCGAAGCCCCCCCCCCCCTTCCCAAGAAAAAAATTAAACCCCCCGCCCCCATGGATCAATCCTAGAATAGTGGTATTAGTTGAAATATCATGTTATCATATACAAAAACTGACAAGATAATCCGGTTTGTATAGTTTTTTGTCTATCGTTTTATATATTTTTGTTCAGTTATTTTTTTAATTTATTAATTTGTAGGTTGTATGTCGATATCGTGTATTCTAGGGAGGAAAATCTATTATGTTGACGCCATTTGTCATAGAGTGATCCAGATCCAATAAATTACCATTATTTAATTGCTTTACAAAATCAAATTTCATTATTATTATTGGTTCGCGTTGTCATTTTTACATGATTATTATTCTTATCATCTCATTTATTTCTTCCCGTTCATTATTAGGTTTCACCTTATTTTTGTAATAACTTTTTTTTGCTCGTTCTCATTATTATTATTTGACATTTATGACCTGGGTAAAAGAAGTGGATCTTCATTCCTTTCGATTCCAGTTCTAGTTTAAGCAATGTCTGAGTAATATTGTAGGAATTCCTTCAGGTGTTTTTGTTTCCATCCTTTAAGCATTTTGCTAACCAATATTATTTGGAAATTTCTTGCGTCCTATGATCTGGAAACATTTCATGAACGAGAATATCATATTAATTTAAGTGTGTTATAGTCTATGACCCAGTAATTGTCTTCTCAAAGGAATAGGTCAGTTGATAGGTAAAATATTGTAACTATTCCATATAATTGAGTTAGAGGTATTATTTGGGCAGTATTTTGTTATTCTTTTTAACCATTTATTTACAAAGGTGCGGGACATGCTAATATTGCTTTAGGTGTCTTGGCATTTAAATTTCTGAAATAGCTAGAATATGTCATTCATTATTAGATTAAATAACTGGATGCGAGGATGCATATGATTTAATGGCTGAAGGTGGAATAATATTAAGAATAATTTGCCAAAAGGAAACAAATGATATCACAAATTACTTAGTTTTGTAAATTCCTTTGGGTCTCTTTAAGTAAGTTTATAAGAGAACCCGCCTAAAATATGACCCAATTGTACCCCCGCCCCACCCGCACAGGACTTGTTACAATCGTATTGTAATTAAACATATAATTGTTTTATTTAATATGTATTTCAGTTCTTTTATATGGATATTTATATATTTTATCATTCAAGTTTATATCGATAATTCTTATCATAACGTTGCCGATCCCTAATGGATTATTTATTCCTGTCTTTATTATAGGTAAATAAATTAAGAAAGTGTACATTCAAAAAATTCAAATACACATTATAAATTAATTATTCTTCTTCTTTTTATGAGTTTTATAATTATTTTACGAAGAAGATTTTAACAAGAGTTTGGAATCTAATTAAAAAGAATTTCTGGTTCCCTAAAATTTTTAGAAAAAAGTTATGTTTCCGGTTGTTAGAATTGTCGCGGTTCCATATTCTGATGTCCTAACTGTTAAAAAGTCATGAAAAAAAGAATGAAAAATTTTAAACAATAAATAAATCACATTTACTTCACACAACATTCTGAACAATTATATAAATTCGTTGTATTTTTGTTTCTGGTTACAGTTCTTATAAATTTTTAAGAGTTTCTGGGTCTTGATACCAAATTATCACTTTAATTTAAGTCAAATTATAAGCAAAACTTGGTTATTGAATATTATAACTTCTATAATTCGCAATCTTAATAGATAATCCTGAATAATTATATTTTTCTAAAAATTTATATCAAAATTACAAAATTAAATCAAGGAGCAGCTATTGGCAAAATGTGCGGAAATTTGGTTAATTTGGTTTTTGTCGATATACAAAATCAATATCCTAATCCACAAATGTTAAACGGAATATATGCGATGATAGGTAGTTACTCGAATAAATGAATGATTATTTTTAATATAGGGGCGGCATCAATGTCAGGAAGTGTCACGCGAACTATATCTACATCGGTAATAGTTTTTGAACTAACAGGGCAAATGACACATTTATTACCCACTATGGTAATTTTTTTTATCCTATTTATCCGTTAAATAATTAATTAAAATACTAAGTTTTTTCATTAAAAAACATTAAAAATAAAAAGTCATAATTAAAATAATGTATGATTAATTATATATATTTAATAATTGTGTTCCCAAAAAGGAACAATAATATCTAAAAATTTCGATTTGAATTTTTTTTGTATAATGTATAAAAGTTCTTTGGCTTCCTTGGTAAAATGTCTAATTTTTCTGCCTAGATTTTTTAAAAGCTTGAATGTTATAAGCGAAAATAGCGGTTAGTTGATATTACTACGGGAACGAAAAAAAATTGTTAAGAACTATATTTTTGTTGATCTTTTGGTTTTCGGTCTGAGTTGGAGGATTGATCTATGAAGGGAATAAAGAGAAGAATAGTCCCATATTAATGTTGTCGAGGTCCCAGGAGATAGTTTACATACCGTCGGGTCTTAATCCATCTGGGTGGGATAAGTTAATGGGGTCGAGATAGTTGGGAATAATTAAAATCCAAAAATAAATATGAGTTTGAAATAAAAACGTCCAAGTTTTAAAACATTTTACTTTTGAGAAATATTTTACATAAATATAAAATGATTAATTTCATAGGCAAAATAAATATATGTAATAAAGTAAAATAAAATAAAATAGAGGGGGTCGCATTTAATGGTTTCCATTCAGGTCTAAATAAAAAAAACTGATAAAAAGACGCTTTTTAAAAGTAGTTTCATTAATTAAAAATCTTAACATTCTTGTTATATCCTTTCAAAATCATATTATTCAAGATGCCAAACTTAAGAAATCGTTGTTATGATAAAGATGACGGTAAATCATTTATTTAAGATATAATTCGGTTATAATATAAAGTAAATGTGGGCGTGGGCCTGGAAAAAAAATTTAAAGCCTGTCTGGACAATTCGCGCAAAGTATTTCGAGCCAAGTTTGAAGCATGTAAAATAAAATTTTTTTAAGGTCAGAAATAAGCAAATTTATGTCTGCGTAAAAAATTATTATGGGTTGAATTGGAAAACTTGTACAAAACTATTTTACAGAATTGGCAAAAAAATTTACGGTTTATGCCAAAAAACATTTTTTCAAAAATTTTCACGAGCACTTTTAATATAAAGTAGCTATAATAATTATTAAATTAATATTCTGTTGTATAAGTCATACCAAAGTTCCTTATCAATGCTCTAATTTAGAATCAGAAGAAATTTAAAAATAATTGTCATTTATTTTCATAATAAAATAAAATTATTTTCATTGATGATAAATTTTTTTAAAATATTTTTTTATGAAAAATTGTTGAATATTTAATTATAACTTTTAAAAGATATCGGTTCTGGTTGCTAACGCAGTAGCACATTGCCTGATCCCTTCCATATACGATGTCATTATAATGACAAAAAAGTTGCCATTTTTACCCGATCTTATGACCCATTCAAAGAGGTTAGATTTAAATTTATATGATGCTTCAGTTAAATTGCATGAAATTTGATTTTATTAAAGAAACATTTATAGTAGAGTTCAGCACGGCCCGGCTCGTAATATTGTTGGCTCTGCCCTAAAAAATATTCTACAAAAATTTCTTTGCCGGGCTGGATTATTCATTTCAACATAAATTTACATTATTCAAGGTTTAAATATTTTTGCCAGAACCCGCCTGCGGCCGAACTTTTTTTAAAAATTACTACTTAGTACATTATATAAAGAATAAGAGACAAGAGCGTTAGCGAAATTATGAGGAGGGCCTGCGATATGCAATGCGTAGAATTGTGTTTCACTCATAGTGACTTGAAAAATTTGCTGGAAAAAGTTAATTTTGAAGAAATCCCTATAGTCGATGATAAAAGTTTTATTAAAATATTATTGATATATTCATTTTAAAAAGAAATTCAATATCAGAAAAATGGTATCTTCTTGTTTTTATTTCCGGTGAAACTTTTTTATGGTAAGTTTACAATAAGATTGGGTAAAGAAATTGCAACAAATATTTAATTAAGTTTTTTTATAAAAAATTATTTTTCTAATTTTATTATAAAGTTTTTTTGAAAGATCAGTATGTGGAAACATCACCATTTTCGACTTTAGTACTTTTTACATATCTTTTTTATGTGGATAAAAATAGGGAGATCAACATTTTATAAAGAATCAAAACGAAAAAGACATTAAAATTCTAATATATAAGTTTTTCCCAAATATTTTAATCATTTCAATAAAATTCGGGTTTTTTTAAAAACTATATTAAAATACCGCAAAATTATTATAATAAAAAAAAATTATTTTTCCTGTCCAGATAAGTTCACCTTTTTAGGAACAGTTAAAAGATCGGTGTTAGAAAATTTGTTAGGAATGTCACCCAAAGAGTGGTGCCCAAATTCTCAGAACTTATTGTTTAAACCAAATGAAGACAGATTGGTGATAACAGGAAATCGAGTAAAATTATATTTTAACATATTTAACCATAAAACATTTTTAATATAAGATTTATAAGTGTAGAAAGATAATAAGAACTTCTCAAAAAATAATTCAATTGTTATCAATTAAAACCATTTTAAGAAGTTTTATATAAAACTAACTCTGGCGAGTATAATTATTTTAAATCTAATTTTAGGCAACAAATTTGGATAGAAAGATTTCCAGAATTGTGGAGAGAATCGATTTTGAAGAGTTGATCAAAAAAAATAAAATGATTTCGTCTATACAAATTTTACCAAATGTAACGTTGATTAAAGTAAATTGAACCTTTTAAGATAATAAAAATTGATATACAAGATTGATCTATTAAGCTTTGAAGGAATATTTATTAAAATTATGAATATTTGGATAAACTCTAAATTTTAGTTTAGAGATATAAAATTAAGCTGGGTTTGTTTCAATTCAAATTTTAATGTTTATTTTTTTTTGTAAAAGCAGATTATGATCTAAAATATACATTCAAACAATTTGTAGCTTGATAATTATTTTTAAAATGTTCAACATCTAAAAACATTTTCTCTCAAAATCGTACTAAATTCTAATAATTTAAAGATTTAAGTCTTCTAATTCAAAAAAAACCCTAAGGCTGTGTGGCTCATGTTTTTTTACTTTATAAGATTCTAAAGTGATTTATGCCATAAATCTACACATATAAAATGGTGCCCCGACCGCTGTTCTGAATAGAATTCAAAACAAAAATTAAATCGGGCTAGGACACGCCCTAAGAAATAAAACTTATATTTTTTTTTACCTTAAAAATAGAAAATAAAATTCCATTAGAATTTCATCGTGCAAGGTTAAACTCGAATTAAAATTTATAATTATAGCGTACAGGTCATGCCCAGGTTTACTTTTCTCAAGTCTGGCGAATGTGTAAATTTGAACATATTTGGTAAAATATGTTTTTTATAAAATACCCTCCCTCCCCTCCTTCTCATCATCCAGGTTTTTCTATTCGTTTATTCTTCTTCCGACATATACCTGTTTCAAAAAAACGAATTTGAATAGGGGCCTGTACGTTGCGTTGATTCATAATTTTTAAATTATAGACTTTCTCTATTGTTCAACTCATAAAATTATTTTTTAAAAAAATGAAAATAATCATGCGACTAGATGTTTCTTACATTATTACCAGGCTAAGATTCTTTTTTTTTCTAGTATAATAACTCAAGATAATGCAGAGGATCAAAAGGTTGAAACAAATTATTCAGTATCAACGGAAGGCAGCGATATTGGATGGGGGGGGGGGTAGTACTTTTCTTCCAAATTTTAATCGATGCCATCAATAATCGACGTCGTATTATCATCATCTATGGGGTGATTCATTGTAACTTACTTAATCAATAATATTATAAATTAAAGTGCTAAGAGGTCATTAATATGCAGAAATAGTTTAATGACCCAGAGTCGATTCTACTGCATTATGATCGTGCACTTTAACTTAAATTTAATTTTAAATATCCACGGGGAGTCGGAATCATTCAATTTTAAAATTATTCACTTAGAGTAATTTTTAAATTTCAAAAAATCTGATTTAATTGGAAATATATTAGAAAATATGCAGATTACCATACTGATAAACAATTTGTAGCAAACCATCGTGTATACTTACTTTTATTTATATTTAAAAAATCGATATAAATTAATAGTTCAAAAGTTTATGGTAAAATTTTTTTATATTTATTGTGGGTACTCTGCACATGCTGGAATACATTTCTGGTCAGATATTTTTCAAATTTAAAAATTTCTGTAAGTAACCCATAGATTTCCTATCCCGATATCACATCACATCGCCATTAATTTATTTCAAGAATTATTCATTTTCAATTTTTTCTTTAAAAAAAATATAATAAAAACAAGGTTCATGAACTTTTTTCTGTCCTCAAGATAGATAATTTATATGTGACTTCACTAGGAAAACTTCTAGGCATGATCTCTTATAAGGATATGATAGATCAAATGATATAAATATTTTAAAAAACCAAACAAATACCTATGTAATAAATTGATATGTGACACCTGTTTATCAACCAATATAACTATGAAATGCCCATTTTGCAATCAAGGGTATCATCAAGATAGGTGGAATGAAGGAGAGAAAAAAATATGAAAATTTGGATGAATGAAAGAAAAGATAGTTTCTTCTTAATTAAAATATTATTTCGTAATTATAGTTTATAGTTATATTTTGCAAGTAACAATAAATCAATTTTTTAATTAATTTTTGTATTCAATTACAAATTTTTAATACTATATTTACAAAAATAATTTTTGATCTAAATAATAATAAAAAAAAGTATAGAAGTGTTAAGCAGATAAATATATAATATATATTACAAAAATCATATGAATTAAATTAATAAGATAATTATAATACATTTTATGACAGAATAAAATTATTCCGATACCTATGAAAAGATAGAAAACCACATAATTTTTAAAATATAATTTAAAGAAATAAAAATGATAATAAAAGCTAGAAAGTTTAAATTTATAAATTAAAAAAATATATTTTTTGCAAAAATTAAGAAAAAATATGTTGTGTTTCTGCGTTGTGAAATATTGTGAATGAATAATATGAATGGTTTCTTTTTAAACTTTCTTGAGAAAATAGAATATTTAAAAAATCTTCTAAATATTTAATTTAATTATAGTTTAAAACTTAAAATTTGAAGTAAATAATGAATGACAGATTTTGTAAATAATAATAATTTTAAAAAAATTTATAAAAATTTTATCCAACCATTTTAATGTTAGTCGAGTAAATTTTTTAAAGAAATTATTATAAAGATTTAAAAAATTAATAATTAATAGCAATTGTTTAAAACTAAAATTTGAAAATGAAATCGTCTGTTTTTTGTTACAAGAATAAACAAAAGTAATTTTTAGCAATATTCAAACCTAAGTATTTAAAAAGTCAATAACATTCCTTTGCAATAATTATAAGGCATATTATTGAATGTTATTGAAAATATTATGGATCAAATATATATTTTATATATTATTATATATTTTTATAAGTATTTACAAAATTATTAGTATGATTCCAATTATATCATACTTTGTAACATAGCATAATAAATTTATGGAGTTAATATAATTTTTTCCTTAAATTACAGTTAAAGTGAATAATTTTGAAAAAAATAATTCATTCAACAAAGTTTAAAAAATGTTACTCACGTACAAAATTTTGGAGACCCTCTCCTATTCAAATAAAAAAAATATTATTTCTTTTATAGCTTATATCGTATAAAGGAAATGGTGCCATCAGTAAGAGAATTTTTGTTCAATTTAACAATTCTATAATATTGAAAGAATTTAATTAAAAACAATACAGCCAAATAAATATTGGGCTAAACAGACATCCATAACCAAATTTAATAGGCATATTTTCTTTTTTAAAAATCATATATATTTTAAATTTATTAAAATTCAATATTTTTTTTAAATTTTTTTTAAAAAATAATTTTATATTTTTTTTGAAATATTTTTACCATTTTTTGTTGCAAAAAATTAATCGTATAATTCTTTAAAAAAATATATTACAAAATTAATCGAATTATACAATATTTTATAAAATTTACAAGGTAAAAATAATATTATTTTTTCCTTCATATCAATTTTAATAAAATTGTGCCAGTGCAAAGAAGCGCATAAGCGAGCGTAATTTTTAAGCGAGAGGATGGGGTGAAAATATAGAAAAAAAATACAAAAATGCATTATGTTTTTTGCTTGCATAAAATTAGATAACACATAATTTCATTATCTAAAAAAAATTCGTTGCGGCTTAATTACATATAGATAATATCAAGAAATCAAAATTTATTTTTGCAAATCGTAATTAGGTCAAAACTTTTAAAGGTAGACTTTAAAGTCTTCATTTCATTGCATCATAAAAAATAATGAGGAATTTATTGCGATAAAAGAAAGTTGGTTATGAATCTTCCCCACCAAAGCTATTTTTTAAAAAAATATTTAAACAATGCTAACAAGTGGGAAATAGTTTTAAAACATGAAAATTTTAATAAGGTTGTCCTTGATGCCTTTTTGCACCGAAAATCCATTCAAATTGGGAAAAAATAATATACTCAATGGAAAAAATAATAATTGGGGCAAAATTATATACACTATTAGATATTGAGATTTCTATTAGTAAACGTTATCAAAAAATTTAAATTTGATGATATTCAAATTTATTGATAATAGTTGTTATTATAGCTGTTACTAGCTACAATATTGGGATTTAACATAAACTGGCTATTGTTGTTAGCAAAATAAGGATGGTTAAAAGAATCTAACAAGGGAAGCGGTGCCATAGAAGTGTTAGATGGAACATCGGAACCCCTCAACATCGGGGCCACTACAGCGCTAGGCTTCACGATTTTCTGATAATCATGTATAAATAAATATTTTGTATGAATATGATGAATAGAATAGCAAGTGGATATAAGAAAAAAATGGTGCAAATAAGTGAAATATTATTTTTATACTGAATTAATTTGAAATATTAAAGTTTAAGAATAAAATAGAAAATCAAAATGTTGTAATTAAAAAAAAAAATTTTAATTGATTAGTAACTTTGCTTTTCGGACACATAGCAAAAGAAGAGGAGTCGTCGCCATCTTAAAGGGGATGTTTAAATAAAGATTATTATAAAATACAATGTATGAAAATATAAAATTTTTAAAAAAAGTTTTATAATTTTAGTGTTTTACCAGAATGTTCCATTTTAATACCCTCCATATCATAATATTTATTATTGTCATTATTCACGTTGCCCTGTTTGGTGGATGTTCTGTATCACAATTATGATAGAAAAATTTAAGAAAAATAAGGATTAAATAAATAACCAAATAAGTAAGTTTTAAATTCCATTATAAAAAAATAATATTTTGAATAAAAATAAATTAAAAATAAATTTTTTTTAAAAAAAGTAAAAATAACCTAGCAAATAAAATATCTTTTAAATCTTCCTCTTTTCGTGATTTGTAATACTGAGTGTTATTTTCCGTTGCGTCTTCGTCTGAACTCAATGTTATCACACTAATGGGTCGATTATTACGATTATTAAAATTTTTGCTATCGATTTTGCCGTTATTCCTTAGTATAAAAGACATTTTTTTTAAATTATAAAATAATTCGGACAGGCCTGATAATTCGTATTTTTAGAAATATCGGACATCAGCCGAATTTAATTTAGCCAATCCAACATATCAAGTAGCGGATAAAAAGTATACACGACACAATATTTATATTTATGATAGAAATTTTAAAAAAATAGCCCATTTGCTTTATATTTATATTTTTCTATGGAAAATATTTCTTATCGAAGATATGTTTGCAAAATATTAATAAATACTAATTAAATTTATTTTTTTCGGTCATGGGTTACTTTATTACATTCATAATGATATATTTGGTTTATATTTTGATTTTGTTACATTTTATCAATAAAATCATTAATTAAAGAAAATATAAAATATGGAAGTAATACTACTAATTGCCCAAAGTTTTATTAAATATTATGACTACCACAAAAAAGGTAAAAAGAATAGTAGTTACCTATTGTTAGGAAAAAAATCAAATTATATAATTTAATAATATTCAATCCGTAAGTTGACGTTTATTGTTTTTAAAAACTTTATTTAAATATATAAAATTATTATATTTTAAATAATCTACAGATAAATTAAGTTCATTGGCCGGTATAGTAAATTGTGAATATCATAAAATACAATATTATTTTGTAATGTAATATAATATAGATAGAATTTTATTAATATTATTTGATCCTGGTATTAAAAGTATCATATTAAATTCTTTATGTAAATTTATATAATACGCCATTCGTTAGAATCATACATTCACTGCTACCTGTCTCATTATGCTAACCAGTAAAAAAGATAGCCGAATTCAATGGATAATATAATAAATTTTTGGAATATTTATAAAAAATTCATCTCAGTACTAATCACATGAACTTAGCTGTAAATATATTTAGCCTCAATTCAGTAAAAATTAAATTTAACTGTTCCAACCCATACCAAATAAAAAAAATTTCTTTAAAGTGGGTATAGGCTCCTTTCACTATCATAATGCCTATAAGCGTTTAAGCAAGAATGCGCGAACAGGTAACTGCAGCCTGCCCAAAAATTGGTGGATGATTCTTTGCATTTTAAATTAACCGCCATATATCTTTTTTTACCCAGTTTTACTAGGAAAAGATAGTACATCAGCCAATCAAACAAATTTGTAATATGCTATTTAATAATTGCATAAAAATTATATAGGTATTTTGTTATAAAAGAATATATATGTCGTCATTTTTAAAGGGATCAGAACTATCCGGGATCTTCACAAAGGGATCCCTTTAAGAATTCAATTTTTTAAAGGATAAAGAACTATATGGTATTATCACGTTTGAACCATGATATAGAAGAAACTTAATTCAAAACGCTTTTCTTTATTTTAAAAAAAAATTTATTGTTATTTATTTTCAATGTTATTTTTTTGGCCTTATGAAATAAGATATGTCTAATATAGGGTAGCAATCGATAGCTAACCAAAAGATCTATTCAACTGGAGGTGAATATCTCCCCCTAAATGTGCGAGTGGGGGGTGAGGAATATTTTTATCAAAACAAAATATCGATATGAGTATCAAATAATAGCTAATTTTAATATCTTTTGATTGAAAGTATTCATTCTTGGTGTTGATAGGAATGAATTGGTATGGGAAGGTGCATGGTGGTGGAGGGGGGCAGAAAAATAATTTTTTTTGATATGGGTCAAATAAAAGGTAATTAGAATATTTTTTTAGTGTAATAATAATAATCACTCATAGAGGGCGGATCTAGGTCTGGGTGTGAGGAATATTTTTATCAAAATAAAATATCGATATGGGTATCAAATAATAGCTAATTTTAATATCTTTTGATTGAAAGTCTACATTCTTGGTCTTGATGGTATGACTTGGTCTGGAGGGTGGATGGAGGGGGGAGGGCAAAAAAATATTTTTTTTTGATATGGGTATCAAATAAAAGGTAATTAAAATATTTTTTTATTGTAATAATAATAATCACTCATAGAGGGCGGGTCTAGGTCTTGGGGGTCAGGAATATTGTTATCAACACAAAATATCGATATGGGTATCAAATAAAAGCTAATTTAAATATCTTTTGCAAATATTCATTCTTGGTGTTGATGGATATGATTTGGTCTGGGAGGGGGGGGGGGGCAAAAAATAATTTTTTTGATAAGGGTATCAAATAAAAGGTTATTAAAAAATTTTTTAATTGTAATAATAATTAAACTCTAAATGGGCGTCTTGAGGGCTAGGAAATTTTTATCAACACAAATATTAATATCACTATAAAATAGAAGCAATTAAAATATTTTTCTACTAAAATAATAGCATTCACTCTTGGTCTCTTAATAAGTTGGATTAGGTTCAAAGAAGGGAGGGTTTAAAAATAATAATTTGATATGAGTTTCAAATATAAGGTAATGGAAATCTCTAAAGACTATAATATTAAATAGCAGTAAATGGTCGGGTCTAAAAATTAGGTGGTCAGAATTTGTATAAAATTTTCATAATATATAAATTGTATATGGTTATCAAATACTTGGGAAGTCCGTTATTTATCAATAAATATATTCTACATATATATTCTGCATATTATAAAATTAACTTTCACATAAAATTATAGATAGATCGCAATTTAATGTATTAATGGTTGGGGTTGGTCTACATAATATAAAATTTATTTGATCAAAATCATTCTTCTATGCGTTTATTCCTAATCTCCTTTAGTATAAATTAAGATTTAGGATATTTATAAATTTTCTGTCAAAACACAAACCTTGTTAAGAATGGCTTAGCCTTTCTTTAGTAGCCAGGCCCTCAACATATTAACAAAATTTCCATTTGGATAGAATTTTAAGAAATAAAAAAGAATAAAGATAAAACAATTTTTTAAATCCTTTTTTCGGTTCGAATCCTAAACCCGAAATATTTAAATTGCAGGGTTCTTAATGTAGCACGTTATTCTATAGCTATTTCTTTTAATATCGATAGCTTTAGCGTGCTACCTTTTTTATAAAAAGAGCGATAGCTAGCTACTAAAAAAAATAGCAAAAAATTATTATAATAATTTTATAATTAATTCTAAAATCATAATCTTTTTAATTTATTTTGAAATTTAATTTACATTTAAAAATATGCATTGTAAGTAAATAAATATATATTTCAAAAATATTAAAAATTTTAAATGTCGAAAGTAGAGATTGATAATGAAGATAATTTTAGTACAGATCATATCGACAAAGTAATATCCCTGTAAAATGATGATGATATGGAATTTCCTTTTCCAAAATTCACAAATTATTTTAATCTCGATAAAAAAATTAACACAGGGCATAAATTTTGCTAAGATGTGGCTGAAGGTTTTATCATAAGTGATCACTCACAAAATAAAAGGGGGAAATTCCTACGAATCATCTTACAATATTGAATATGTTCTTTGGAAAGAACGAACTATAAAATAGGCAACACAATATAATTGAAAGATAAAAATACTACAAACTCAATAGGCATAAGCATCAAAAATATTTTAGCTAGACTGCCTTCGTTTATTGCATATTTAATAGATAGGATTATGCAAGATAATGTTTACAAAAATAAAATTATCCATTGGGGATCACGTACTGATCCCAATAAATAAAAATGATAGATCAAATCTATGCCCTAAAAAATATTGAAGCCGAAATTATCCAAATGGAGGGCGAGAAACTATGGGTTAGAACTAGTGTTGTAAACGAACGCATTCAAAAATGATGAACGGCATTTTTATTTTTGACGAACTTTGAACGTGACGTGTTCCTTTTTATGAAGAACGCGTTCGAATTTAACGTTCGTTCAATTTTAAAAATACTTTTTCTTTTTATTTATTTGAAAAATTTAATATTTCCGATTTTTTTTTAAAAAAGTATTATTTATATTTTTTAATCGGCTGCGTATTTCCTTATCACATTTCAATTTTTTTTAACACATAGTTTATTAATTTTTTTATTGTTTATATTTTAATTTAATAGATTAGCATAAGCATGGATATTATTATTTAATCCTCATCATCTGATTCTGAAAATCCAAAATCAGATAAATTATCATTACCATTTCCAAATATGATAAATGTTTTACAGTAACATCCTATATTGAAGGAACTAATTCAATGCTTACTAGGTGTAAAATGTGCCCAAAAAGTATTATATTGTCAAAATCTTCAGGTTCCAATTTAAAACGACATTTGATTGTAATATTAATTATTTTATTTTATATAATATAACGTAAAATCATTAAATTTGAAGAAAAAATGCATTTGAGATTTGACCCCAACAATAACGATAGTTATTTTAAAATTAGAAAAAATTGTGGCCTCAAATATGGCCAACCATTGATAGACGCCGTATTAAATGGGATTAATAAAAGGTATTAAACCTATCACTCTCAATTAATTACATATATTTTATTTTTTTAAAGATTTGAACATATATATGAAGATCAATATGTTCTTTCTGCAATTATACATCCAGTATTCAAGCTTCAATGGTCATGGATAAAACTTCCACAGAACGAACCTATTAAAAATAAACTTATATCATTATTGAAAAAAATGCTTTGAAAACCCTAGAAATGATAATGCAAGAACTGTTAATTTCGAGATATCCTTTTTTTTGTAGAGGAAGTAGAGAATGGATTGGAGGAGTATAACTTATCTCAATTTTTTGAAGCAAATAACAAAACAATAAATATTTTTAATAAATTCCCCACGTTAAAAGAGTTATTTATTAAGTATAATACCGCAATCACCTCATCAACTCTTGAGCGTGTTTTTAGTATGGCCAATGCCGTATTAACTGCCAAGCGTTCTTATCTAAGAAGAAAATTTTGAAAAATATTGTTATTAAAAATTAATAAGAAAATTTTTTATAAATAAAAATATCTTTTTATTTGATATATTATTTTGAATTTATAATTATATTATCAAAATAAAACTATATTATTTTTTAACATGGCTAATATTGTGTTAATAAATATAAGACATTTATTTATATTAGAAAATTTTAAAAAAAATTTATCATAATTTTGAACGGTTCATGAACGTGAACGCGTTCCTTTATTTTGAAAGTGAACTTGAACGTATTCGATTTTTTTAGAAATGTTTACAGCACTAGTTAAAACTAATATTCCCCATTTTTAAAAACGAACGTTCATAAATCAATAAAATTTACCAATTTAACTATTCCCAATAAGGCCATCTCCATAATAACATCAAGAAGTGCATCTGGTAATTAATTGTAAATCAATTTGCAATTGCCAAAAAGTTGCAAATAAGAGATGCCAATGTTTTAAAAATGGGATTAATTGTTCCACAAAATGTCACTTAAATATTATTTGTGTAAATAATAAATAATTGTTCAAAATTAATTCTAAATTTCAATTATCAAATAAAATATGTGTTCATTATATGGTTTAAAATGAAGCATAATAATAGGGATGATTTGCTTGTAAAGAAGTATAGTAATTTATAACTGTAAAAAGAATAATTTATAATGTCATTTTTAAATTTGTGAATTGATGGTTTACAATTTAAGATTTAAAAATATTAATCTATTAAGGTACAATAAGTTTTTAAGAGCATTTACTATATAAGACCCCTGCTATAGTGATATTTAATATTGAAGTCTAAATATGTTGTATTTAACTTTTATATGATACCCACATATTGATATTTTGTGTTAATAACAATATTCATGACATCTTAACACGCCTACTTTTATTTACTTTTAATTTGATGCCCATATCAATTTTAATTATTACCTCCCCCCCCCCATTCCCAGATCACGTCCAACCCTTTAAGATAATAAATACTTTCAGTCAAAAGAAATTTATAATACCTTTTATTTAATTCCTCTATCAATATTTTATGTTTATGAAAATATTCCTGAGCGCTTAAGATCCCCCGCCTATTTAGAGTATAATTATTACAGTTGAGAGATATTTAAATTGTTTTATTTGGTACACATATCGATATTTTGTGTTGATAAAAATATTCCTGACCCCCCCCCCCCCCCACGACCTAGACCCGCCCTCTATTAGTATTATTACAATAAAATATATTCTAATTACCTTTTATTTGGATACCCATATCAAAAAAATTATTTTTTTGCCCCACCCTCCCCCTCTATCCACCCCGCCCCCCAGACCAAGTCATACTCATTAAGACCAAGAATGAAGACTTTCAGTCAAAAGATATTAAAATTAGCTATTATTTAATACCCATATCGATATTTTGTTTTGATAAAAATATTCCTAACCCCTCAGACCTAGACCCATTAAGGGGGAGATATTGACCTCCAGTTGAATAGATCTTTTGATCTATCGATTGATACCCTATATTAGACATATCTTATTTCATAAGGCCAAAAAAATAACATTGAAAATTAATAAATAACAATAAAATTAAAAAGAAATAAAATAAAACGCTTTGTAAAATAAGATTCCTCTTTATCATGATTAAAACGTGATAATACCGTATTATCATTCCTTAACTTAAAACCCTAATTTTTTAGTTATCCCTTTAAAATCCGCGATGATCCCGGAGTTCTGATCCCTTTAAAAATTACGATATGTATATGCCCTGTAAAATCATTTTTTTCCTTTTAAAATGATATGTGATTATCTTATCATTTATTTCCCCAAGTCAGCTTAATCTGATAATATTTTTAGGAAAAATATTAATAGTAAAGTAGACCAAAAATATTTTAAAAATATATTTTGTTTTAGTTTAGGTTTATGTATTTAAGTATAGATAAATATTAAAACTTATATTCAAAATCTAACAATTTAAATCGTAATTTGTTTTAATCAATTTTTTTTAAATATTTTTATTTTACATATAAAATATTGGCGCCTTTTTTGGTATAATATGATTTAACATAAAATTGATAAATTTAATATTTTCATAGCCGGCCCGGCCCGAATTTTTTTTTAAATATTAGGCCCGACCCAGCCCGAACCCGATATTTTTCTAAAAAATAGGTCAGCTCAGGCAGGGCCTACTTTTGCAGATCTCTACAACATATATTCTTAGCACCTAGGGAAATCATAAAGTCAAAAAAAATTTCAAAAAAATGATTTTCGCATTTATATATTATGCGTTAAACTCAATTTTGTAAATTTCAATGATAAATTTATTTTTTTTAAAAAATAAAACTGACTTTGGACGCACCTAAATGTCGAATTTTGTGTTACTTAATTAAAATGAACGATAATATTTCTAAGAATTTTATGTTTTATAAAAAGTATAAATAAGCATAATCTATAAGATAAGCCCGGCCGAAGGTTGGAAAGGGTCCAAAGGCCGTTAACGGCGGTCTGGGGGCAAAGCCACCCAGGTCATTAGAGGTATGGACCCACCTAAAGAAAATTCCTAGCTATGCTAATGTATCGAAGAGTATCAATAATTTAAAAAATCAAAAATATTCTTTATGGTGCCAATTTTTCGGTAAAACTTGTTATCATTTATGAAATTAAGCCAACTTATCCTGAACCTAGGAATCGATTGTTGTAAATAAAAGTTATATATTTTATAATGAATTAAGTAATTACTCCATCGGAAGTGCCATATTGAAGCCCAAATTCCAAGGCGCTATATTGATAGCGCTGATGTTTTCCTTGTTTTGGCAGAAATTAATATTTAAATCGCAATTATTATTGGATTCATTATTAATGGGCTCGTTCACGTCCATCAAGGCGCGGTTTAAAATATTTGTCTTTTTGTTGTATTTTTTCCCTATATTTTGTCCATGCGTTCTCGAACAACGATTGGCAGCCATATAATTTGAATTTACCAAATTATTTTCAGGCTTTTCGATATTATTAATGTCATTAGAGAATTTATTAAATGGTGTGGGAGGGAAATGAACAAAATTTGCGTTTTGGGAGCGAGAGTTTTCTGAATTATTGTGAGAACTTTCTATTTCGGGATAGTGCCATAGATAGAGATTGTTCGTATTTCTATTGCTACTTCCAGAGTTATTGTTATTATTGTATGATAGATTATTTTCGTTAGAGTCTGGCAGAAATGATGAATCGATGTTCTGAAAAAATATGAATAAACGAAAAAATATATAAAATAAAACTTTTTGTAGATTCCGAGATGAACGTGTGCTTATTCTATCCTTCGGGTCCATCGATACATCCATTTCGTCATCTGCTATAGATGTTGTGAAAAATATAATTATACATTAACAATAGGTAACACTTTTATATGATTATCAATAATGTACTGGCTCTGGGCCGTCCAAATTTAGTGAACAACTCGTAATTGGCATTGGTAATCAAACCATCGTCCATTTCTGTGCCTATATTGTTAACTCTCAATAGTTTGTCAATATCGTTACGCAAATGGTTACTGTCATTGATCCGATCGGGCTTAGATAAAGGCTTGGGAGCAGATGATGCGGTAAGGGAAGCTATTTGTCGCCAGAGTAAGGAGTCTATGTTTTCTTTCCCCAAATATTTGAGGTTAGCATTATTGATTCGTCTGCCGAGATCGTTATTATTATTACTAATATCGCTGATTTTATTATAATCGATATCGTTATTCATATTTAAAGGAAGATGATAAGGGGCTGTTAAGGCCTCGGAATGTAAGGGGACATAATTAGGTTCTGACGATAAATGTACATTGATTAAGGGATTCACTTTGTTAATCATTATATTATTAGGTGGGTGGCTATTTCTGGCATTGTTGAGGAAATAGTGGTGATAATAATAATGGTAATAATAATGGTAAAGTTGTTCTTTAGAAGAACAAGGAGGGGGCGGGGGCTGAACTAAAGGAAACAAAAATGGAACTGGAATTGCCTGCTGAGGAAAAAATGGTGAAGAAATCAAGGATTCTATTTTATCGTCAACAACATATCCTCCTAATTTTTCGTCTATTCGACCATTTACGTTCCTATTATCAAAATTAGCCGGAACTAGCATAGGGCCCACCACGTTGCTTGAATGATGAAGCATAGCTGCAGCCATGTTAATATAATACTCGTTGGAAGGGGGAAGAACAGGAACTCCTAAGTTATCATTGTTCGGCGCTCCTGTAGCATTGAGAAGCAAGGATGGGTGGATGGAAGCGTGCGGAATTTCAGACAAGGGATTTAAATTAATAGATGATTGATCGTTTTGCTGCCGATGTAAAAGTTTGAAAAGTCTAAGATCATTCGTTGGTATTTTTTTGCCGCCATGAACATATCCATTATTATCGTCTGAAGGAGGTGCCACCATTGTTGGATATCCCTCGGTAGAAGGAAACTGGTAAGGTTGGTATTCTTGATATGGATGTATGCAGGTTGTAGCCAGCTTGCGCATCAAATCGTGTCTGCCCTTCTCCCATTCTTGACCACCGTCATTAGCAGCCCTTTCTCCTTCTCTAGAGCGGACAGTCATAACTCGATTTAAAAAGTCACGTTCTGCTATAGCTTTCATAAGTAACAATTCTTCGTAATTAGAGTTGGTGTTATTATGGTTGTGTTTGATAGTTTTAGATTTAATCTTGTTTGTTTTAGAAGATGGCTGGGGAACGTTACTATCAATAGCTTGAACATGATTGATGCCGCTGAAATTGTGGACGATATTATTCATGTTTTCATATAAGGTTAACGGAGTTGGAAGGTAATGATTGCTTTTACCCTTCACTAAAGGTTTCAGATACTGAGAGGAACCCTTATGTTGGATACTATTGGTGTTAAGATTATTGAGGTTCAATCCATTTATGATACCCTTAGTAGTATTGTTATTAAAATTAGCGGCAATATTTATTTCATCTAAAGATTGTTTTTCCAACAAATATAACCTCTTTTGTTGCTTGAAACGATGGAATATGTTAAGGGTATCAGTTAACCCAGAGCAACCCAAGAAAGAGTTGGGACATTGTATTAGAATTTTGACGGCATTTTCAATGCTGGATTAAATTTGGGTTAACGTGCAATTAGAAGAATTAAACAAATTTTTAATATAAAATTTTTGAAAAGATTAAAAATTTATTAAAATATATATATTTGAGCAATTACCCTGCATTCACAGTTAGCGCGAATTCGCTCTGAAGTATACAAAATATGCTGTTAGCGAATTTTGTAATTCACCGCAAATTCGCTCTAACTGTAATTGAAGGGTTATACGTATATGCCTAAAAATGGGAAATGATTCACAAACATTTAGTCATAGCCAAGTTCCTAAGATAGTATTTGATTGAAAATCGAAAGCAAAAGAAAGTTTCCACTAATCTTTATATAATTATATCAAGAGATTTTGGTGAAAAAAAAATTCCTTTTAATCTCAGAATCCTGACAAGCGTATTTTTTATTAAAAAAATATGTAACGATATAATCCAGTCTCCATGTTTTTTTGATAAGTAAATACTAATTCAAAAAAAAGGATTAGATTTTTAACAGGTAAATACATTTTATGGATTGTAATAAAGGAAATATAGAAATGAATAATTTGTCCTTAGATATATTAAAAACTATAATGTAATGGCAATTACGATGGGTGCTGGCAATATCTGGGATGGATGTGATTCATAACCAAGAAGGGTTCTCGGCATAAAGCCGTCTCTGGGTTCACACGTGATTCTTGATCGAGAGCCAGCATCCTTTTCACCATGCAAACAAACCATTTTCTGTCCAGTCGATCAATCATAGCAGCCAACTTGGATCCAGCTTCGGGTCCAAAATCATCTGTTTGGGCAGTGGCAGATGCTAGGCTAACGGATGCCTTATATATGCATGTTTGTGTACATTATAAATATTGCAAAAATATTAGTCTTTTTATCTTATTTCCTAAAATAAAATGTACCCAAAAAATTTTAAGGTTATATTATTCAAGGATAAACCTTTTATTTTGTGTATTTTTTTTGTTTGCTTGAAATTATCTTTATATTTCCTAAAAATAATTTTTGAACATTTACAAAGATTTTTAACCAAGAATAAAGTTATATTACGAGGCAAGGGAATTTATTTTTATTAAAATTTACTAAAGAAAGCACAATTTTTTTAAAAATAATTTTTGTTTGAAAGTAAGGTCAGTGTTGTTAAGATGCGGCGCTCCTGGAGCGCCATTACACTTTTTCAAAATTTAAAAAATCAGGAGGAGCTGTCCCCTTTTAGAGCTGGAGTAGAGGAGCGCCCTCCACCGCTTTTTTAAATTTAATGCATAAATTAAATTATTTTTTAAATATTAATAAATTTATTTATTTGTTAATTAAAATTCAATAAAAATGAAATTTTATTTTATTTAAATTTATGCAATATTAAAAATCAAGTTTTTCTTTCTTTTTATTGAAAATATTCATATTTCATATAAAATTACTTAATATTATAAAAATTTGATGAACCAGCCAGTAATAATAATAAAACAATATGTCTAAAAGCGAAGATAATATTGTTTAAAAAAATAAGATATTATAGCTATATAAACCAGCACATTTATTCAACCCCGACCCCCTTTAATCACCAGGAGAGATTGAATTAATAAAACAAACATAATTAGCCTCAAGAATAGCTAAGCGATCCTCTACCTTAAGTAAAAGCCTTCATGAGGCTCCCCAGAATTTTTCCTGATTAAGAGGCCAACGTCTTTAAAAAGCATTTTAGCCAAATCACCATATGTTGTTAAAGTGGGGCAAATGATTGGTACGAATATGCTTAGAAAAATCAGCGCTGTATTTGGAGATCTTAAAATTTTTCGCTCTGTTCAGAGTGTCTTTATTAAAATTGGAAAGGGAGTTCGTGTCCAGACAAGAAAAATACCATATTAAAAACTTTACTTGTGATGTGACTATGGAATTCGTGTGATTCTATCAGGACGCCTGCCATCGGAAAAGAGATTAGAAGGCTCCAGTGAGGTAGGAAAACCAGCTGACCTAATTGCAAGATATGATTTGATTGCATCTCGAGTGTCGGGTTTGCCGACCGGGATATTGCAATGTAAAGGATTCAGCGCCATATTGTCAAAATCGGTATGACATTTGCTGCATTTATATGGTAATGAGAAAGGAATGTTGAGGCTACATAGAGCATAGCTGAGCTCGTGGTTGTCCAATTCAAGTTGATTGCTAAATAGAATAACATCTAAAAATTCATATCCCCGATCCTTGATAAGTTCAATGAATGTGGAACTAGCCAAAGGTGAAATACTCGAAATAAGGTAATCAACAGAGTTTTTCACAAGTGGTAGATCACAATTCCTCTGTTTTACGGGGATCGAAAATAGGGTTGTGGTATGAAGGATTTTGCCCACTCTGTCCTAGCTGTATTCAAAAAAGGATCTTAGACTGACAGATGTTGGTCAATTAATCTACATTGAAATCGACATTGGGAATCTTATACAAAGACCACCATGTTTGGAAGGAAGTTTAGTTTGATGTCAAGCTATGTCTATAAACTTGATGTTTAAGCAGTTACAAGAATGGCTCATATTCTGGTTTCGAATCTTACTGTCTCTAAAAATAATAAGGTCGATCGTAGAGAGTAAAAGATTTTAGGGAGTTAAAAAAATTCCTAATTGAAAAAAGGCCTTGTGAGCCGAGACAGGAAAGAATGCGTTTTAAATTTTCAAAAATAACGTTCATATCGCAAAAAAAAGAACTGATTCCTCACCAATGGGAGAGCCCAACTGAGGTAAATTTCCAAGGGATAGCCTAACACCAAAAACATTTAATGGAATTGTATTGATTTCACAATATTCGGTTTTGGTTAAGTTATTTACAAGTCCAAGACTGTCACTGGAGGCCTTAATAATATTAACAGCCTTTTCCACCTCAGCAGAATCGCCGGAGATGGCCCCATCATCAATGTACCATATGTAGGGGAAGCGAGCAGTTTTTATTTTAGTTATCAAATTATGGATTCCCAGACAAAATAATATGTAGCCCAAGGGATCACCCTGCTGAATACCTTTAGAAGAGAATAAGACATAATGGCTAAATACCAAATGGGATGGTTTCTCATAGGATGAAAGGTAGTTTGTAAAAACTTGGAAATGTTTTATAAATTGTGAAATGATTACTTTTCTGTGAAGGCTATTGTAAGAATTTCTAAAATCGATTTTAACAAGGTGTTAAGCGATTGTAGTATTCTGAACATAAATACGAGTTATATGTGCAGCCACTTCACATAATGAGCTCGTTCCGACACCTAACTGAAGAGGAAAAAGTATGTTAGATACTTGTGCAGAAATCCTCCTAGCTATAAGCTTGGAACATAATCTCCTATACACAGCACCAATGGCAATAGACCTGATATCACTATTCTTTTTTCACAGGGCGACAAGTTTGACTCAAAAAAAGGGCCCTTGCGAAATCTGGGAAGTCACCATTGATGACCTTGTTGAATAATTGAGTGATATTATCCAATAAACAGGTTTGACTGTTGAGGATAGGAGTGGTTAAATCTCGAAGAAATAATGCCTTCAAATCCAGGGGCCACGTCCTTCTGAAAAGATCTGACTTATTTAAATACTTCTCCCGAAGTGAAAATTGGAGAAGGGTTCTTAATTTCACAAATCGTTGTAGTCCGAAGTTTGGGGATGCTTACCTAGCAGTTTTTGTTATGATACCGCGTCCGCTGGAACAAGTGTGTCAAAGGAGCTGCATAGACTAAGAGCACCATTTATGTCTAGGATATTTATTTTATTGTCGATTAGCTTCACCTTGAATTTTAAATCATACTATTTTTTGTGTGAGTTACCCTATTTTAATACTTGAATGGCCGTTTAATGGCCCATAGTGTGAATGGACAAAGATACCCCCTTTCTGGCAATATCCCATCTATTCCTCTCCTAACAATCCCTCACAGCTCCGTAACATCAAACTCTAACATCCCTGATATTTTGATTTCCAGAATTACAAGAGGTGCCCGACAAACTATTTCTACCAATTATGTTCAATTCAATGCATTAATAGGCTGTTAAAAAACTTATCTTCTAAGAATGCATGGTCAGCTTTTCTTTTATTCGGCCACAAATCTTTCCAAATTCCTGCTGAGAATAGTAATTCCTTCACTAGGAATATTAAACTAGCATCTTCTAATATCAATTATGAACTCAATGATATCATAACTAACACCTGCAACAAAAAATAGGATGATTTAAAATTCAAGATGAAGGTAATTGACAATAAAATAAACAACCTGGACATAAATGGTGCTCTTAGACTATGCAGCTCCTTTGACACACTTGCTCCAGTGGACGCGGTATCATACCAAAAACTGCTAGATAAGCATCCCCAAACATCAGAAGTTATAATGATTTGTGAAACTAAGAACCCTTCTCCAATTTTCATTTTGGAAGAAATATTTAAATCAATCAGATCTTTTCAGAAGGAACCTGCTTATTGGATAAAATCACTCAATTATGCATGAAGGTCATTAATGGTTTTTTTTAAAGTTTTTTAATTCAAAATTTTAATTAAATTTTAAATATAATTTTATATTTTTGTAGAATAATTTTAATTATATATTTTTAACAAATTATTCAAGTAATTGGTTACAAATATGAATAGAGAATTATTTGAATCGTATTCGTTTTTAAATAGGCCAAATATAAACAGAGAATTAAAATCAATACATTTATGTTGACCAAATCGTCCAAATTGTTGAAGATATATTTCCGAGTTTCGTTAGGATGAATATTAGTGGTATCTTCGTATTCCTTAGATGTCTTATTTTTTTAAATAATCATTTTACTATACATATAAATTATTAATATGTATCAAATGCAAACAAGTTAGCCAAGATAATAAAAAATAGTAAAAAAAATTCATGAAAATGATTAATAAAAATTTTTATATGTTGAATATACTTTCATTCTCCAATAATGGTATTTCCCATTACTCTCTTTGCAGAAAAATTGTTCGGTTTTTACGGCAACATTCAACATATGCTGAGGGGGCAGGCCTTGAGTCTGAGATATGAACCTGATCTAAAAGAGATTTTTTTAAAAAATTATATATTTTAAATTTATTTAACCATTTTTTTAATGGTCACTAACGAAATTGATTGTATTTATATGCAGAGTGAAGGCTCAGGTTAGACTTTCCGAGTCTAATTGCAACTATTTATCGAGAAAAAATTTAAGCCACATCCTTATATACATACCGCTAAGAGGTTTTGTTTTAAAATGACACCCATATATCAAAGCGAAATTAAATACCAAAAACATATTTCACACCATTATTATAATGTTTATAGATACTCATCTAGAAGATATATTTGAAAAAGGAGTTTTACTTGGTCGTATTCGGAAGAACCAGGATAGAGAGGCCAACCCAAAAAGAGTTCAGCCGCTACACAGCCCAGAGACCACATGTCTATTCCTTCAGCAAAAGGAAGACCTAATATTATCTCCGGAGCTCTAAGCAATATTTTTGGTTGGAAGAAAAATATGATTTATTAATAATATTCAGAAATATAAAAAATATATATTTAGAAGATATAAAAACTAAAATAAATAAACCTGTAATAACGAGATTGGAGATAGGTTGTCCGAATAACCCTCGAGGAATGACTGGCCGATCCAAAATCAATTAATTTAACCCTCAAGGGACATCGATTATGATCGACCAACATAATATTTTCGGGTTTGAGGTCGGCGTGAATTAGGCCCAATTTTTTCAACCTATTTTTTTATAGCGAATTTTAAATCCATTTCTTAATCCATTATTCATTTTTGAATCATTGATATCATGAAAAACACTGGACAAAAATAACCTAATTTTAGGAAACATTTTAAATTCTTAAAAAGAAGGGTAATTTAAAATAAGTTTCCTCTTTTAAGGCATTTAAATATTTTTTGAAAATTAGGTATTTTTGTTCAGTGTCTTTTTGTCTAGGGTTTTTATCCGGATAGGATATTTATGTCAGTGGTTCATTTTTTTTAATATTTCTTATTTCTTAAGATTTTCTCAGTTGAATTTAGAGAAGATAAATTTAGAAATATTAAATGAATTAATTGAAAAAGTTAAATCAATGTGATTTTTTTCTCAGTATCCTCACTTGTCAAAAGTGAGATAATTTTACTAACCTGTGAAATGTAATATTAAATTATCGTGCTAATCGAATTTACATATATTACAAATTAGGTTAATAATTAGATTCATATAAATATTCATTTTATCAGACCCAAACTATTTACTAGTTTCTTGAACATGTTAATATGAAAAAATTGACCTTTTAATCATGGCTTAAGACAAATAAAATGACCATACAACATGAATAGCAATAAAATATCGAATAAAAAATGGCCAGTTTTTGGAGACAATAGAAAAGATGATAATCGGCGTTAATTATGATTTGAAGTGAACAAACTTTTATAAAATAAAGTTCAAAGTCAAAAGAATTTTTTCTCTTCATTCAAGAAAATAAAAAAATAGAACAAAAGAAAAATAATGACTGAAAAGTGAATATAAATTATTTGAAATCTTAGAAAATATAACAAAAACATGAGGTTTGAGAAAGCAGTTTGTATAAATATGGAATTATATATCTGGAATTTTCTGAAAATAATAACAATTAATTTATAAAATAGACATAAAAATTAATATCGAAAAGCAAATTTTCTTTCATTCATGAATCACTGGGAAAAACAATATGATAATGCCTCGAGGCGATTAACATTATATTAAAAGCTGCTATCCCCTGTGAGCTATTGTTTTTATTCAAAGAAATTTCATTTCTTTTTTTGAATTATAAAAGATAAATAACTTCAAAATGAGGAATGAATAATTATTTTGCAGCAAATATTTTCAAAAATAAAAATAATTAACGTTAACATGACATGCACATTTGAAGACTGACGAAGGAAAATATATCTAGAAATCATGTTAGAAGAAATAAAAGGAAGGGGTCGTGAGATCGGCGATATTTTACTGATTAGTTTATAAAATTTTTAAATATTAAAAAGGATTAAAAAAGGGACTTCGCGGATCAAATGTTGCTATATTTTATATAACGCGTTTGTTAAATTATAAATTTTTATTACAATATCAATCACATTTTTAAGTCATAAAAAAGATATCAAAAACTTCAAATTCAAATTTTGTTTAACCATTAATTAGGTACCTTCCTTAGCTTCAGTAGAACTCTTATTTTAGTTCGCAAATTTAACTAATAGATAAACAGGAGATAAAAATAATGTTTTATTTGAAAAATTATCCCCTTTAATGATGAAAATGATAATTTTCTGACAATTACATTTAATTAACAAATATTAATAGGATAAACTATTTTCTGTTCTACTGTTTTATATTTTAGATTTATAGGTAATAAATCAATAAAAAAAATTACTCATTTTTCGAATTTTATTCATTCTTATTTTTAATTATGTTACGAAAAGCCTTCTTTAACCGTTACATGTTCTAAGTCGTCAATCTTTATAAGAGGGCTGTAACTTAACAGTATGTTTTCACTTTGAATAACGATAACCGTTAATTTTTTTTCAAGTAACGTGCTCAACCTTGGTTAGATAACTCTCCCATATTCAGGCGACACCATGTCTCAATTTTGAGCATTTTATTTTGATTCAAAAAAATTGTATAATGAATAAATATGAATATAAATGGCAGAGCACACCATATTTACCTACGCAAAGCGACGAGAACCTGTAAAATGACGCATCTAATCTCAGGAAGGCTCATGGGCTCAAAGCTCCTCCTCTTCAGGTAGTCGTATAGATTCGTCTCCAGAAGCTCAAAAACAAGGCATGTGTGTCCTTTATGGATAAAACCTTCCAACAAGCGAACGATATTGTTGCTCTCGCAAGCATCTTATAATAATAAATACATTTTTTTTCATTGGAAGAAATCTAGACGAGGTATATAAGTATTTTTTAATAAGGCAAACCAGATTAGCTCCACAGAATTTTCTATCAATTCAATCAATTTTATTTTATTGATTTTGAGTCATATATACATGGGAATATATTTAATTTTTTTTAAAAGGGGGGCTAAGAATAATAGTACATCTTTAAAAAAGCCTTTTGTATTTTAAAATACAAGTTAAAGATCTGTTAAATTGAAAATATCAGCTTGGCTTGTTGAATATTAACCCTTCATAGTACCGGTAGGACTATGCAGACCCAAGTCATTTTAGAAACTTTATTCCTTAAAATTATTTAGATATTTTTGCCTGGATCTTTTAGTAGTTTAATATTTTTATGTGCAAAATTAATTTTGATTGAGTTGAATACTTCATGAGTTATAAAGGCTTTTTGAAACTTCTGCATAGATTCAACCTGGTTTCTCTGTTTTAGCATTGATATATTAAGCATAAATAACTTTTTTATACATCAATATTATTATTAAAAATTATATGAATATTTGAACCTTAGATAAACATTATACACCATCAATTTTATTTTTATTTTTTATATCATATTGTGACATTTTAAAGAAATTTGTCACTTTTTGGACTCTCTTAGCAAATGCTGTTTAAAATTCTAAAATAAGAATATAATCTTAAAATAACAGTTCTTTATTAGAGTTTATTTAATATTAATATATGTTCAAAATAGGAAAGCTATGACTTAATTTGATTTTAAGAAATAGGTATCTAAATTGGGTCCAAGTGAACCCCACCTGTCTTTCGTATCTTTTTTTTACCCGTTCTATGAAGGGTTAAATGATCCTGTGTTTAATTTTTAATAAGTTAAAACTGAATCATCAAATTAATATTAAAATTCTTACCATATTTTACAATAAATACAAAAATTTAGTTACATATAAAACAAAATCTATAATATAACTTGTATTTGAATGATTAGATTAATTATTTAAAATTTTTTTGATACTTCTTGTGATTTAACCAGTAGATTATAAAATTATAATAACAAAAATTTTGATCGTTGGCTGATCCAAATTTATTGTCAACAAATCTGTTATTACCTAAACCGATTCCCACATTTAAATTAATTTAACAATTTACATCAAAATCATAATCCCATCTATATTGTATATAAGGGTAGGATCAAGAATTAGAAAGCCCATAAAATACAATGACCCAAATTACATTAAAATAATATTTTTTTTCAAATATAACCCTAACACCCTAGCCCAGTCTCACCTTTATTTCGGTTAGGTAGCTGTAGGTTAAAATTTTGATTTTATCAAAATATTATTACCTAACCTGCACGTGAATTAGAGTTAACATATTCATTAACAATATACAAGTGCTGATTTCGCTATCATAGTAAATGTCGTAGGGATTTCGCGAATTCAGTGCTATGCCTCATTGTTCCGAATTTTTAGCAAATTGTTAAAAACTTAAATAATTTATAGTACACGTTATATTTAAATTTTGAAGATTTTGTTGGAATCGTATTTTGATTGGCATGGTATAAAATACCTATCATATGCAATTTTAAACAATTTCCCTATTAATTTTTGTTATTAGTTTCAAATGTTTATGGTAAAATTGTCTGAAATTCACATAAGGGTAAATATTCTATTTATGATGGATTCTGGCAAAATCAGATCTTTCAAAATTAAAAAAAAACTTGCACAAATGTCCAGATTTTCTAAAACCCTATGCAAGTACAATAACATTCAATTTTGTGAAATAAATTGATATATTTTAAAAATTTTGCAAGAAACAAGGGGTCAAATTTCTTTTCGTTGTAGAATAATCATTTTTACAATTAAAATTTTTTTTCTTAAATTCGGGCAGGACCAACAAATAATATTATTTTAACTTCGGGCAGTTTCGGGATAAATAAGTTTCTTTCAGGATAGGACCAGACATACATTTTTATATAAAAAAATTAGGTCAGATGCAGATCACTAATACACACTATATATTAATAAAAATCAGATTATCTACGAATGATTATGGTTTAACTTTAAATATTTAATAATCTTATCTTTGAATATTAGTAATTTCGCTTAAATGATATATTATCATTTTTTAAAAAAATTTTGTTTTATAATAAATAATTTTAAAAAAATAATCATTTATTTTATAATTTCTTGTGTCAAATAATAAATACCCGATATAATTGTTCGATAAGATAATTTTTTTTAGCTTTACTAGTGGAGGGCGCATAGGTGCTCAAGCCTCCTGAAAAATTTGAAGAGCCTCCTGATTTTGAAATAATACAAAAGGGTCATTTTGAAAATGAAAAATTTAAATTAAAAAATTTTTTGAACCCTTGAGATTGTAAAGGCTATGGCGCCACTGATTTCAGGGTTAGACTCAAAAAGGTATCAACAGACATGGATATTAAAATATACACTACAGATATGATTGGGCCTACTGTTGTTTGAAAGAACTTGCTCATTGAGAAATTTGATTTAAGCTTATTGTGAGATTTACCCATGAAAGAAAAATGATTTTAAAATGAAGATAAAAATAAGGCAAATGTGTTACTACTGAAGCAGCCCAGCAGCCATAAGGAAGGAAAGCAACCCCCTTAAAACTTATAAAAATAGCACCCCAAAATATATAATATTAGCCCTCAAATAAACTTTTGCCTCACTCCCCTCAACTTAAGCCTTCTAGCTATGGGCATGTATTTATGAAAAATAACGAATTAAAATAACGCGTTACTTTGTATTTTAAGTTACCTGTTACTTTATATTTTTATAATTATTACATTTTAATAGCGTTATTATGTAATTTAAGGTATATCTAATATTTATATTATAAAAAATCTTTCATCTGTTATTTACATGGTCTGTATTCTAAAGGCAAGTTACTGTTTAATTGTTGCTTAATAAAATATTGACTATATGCTTCAAAATTTTGCTATTAGGTCAAAACATTTGTGTCATTTATGAGCAAAATCTTCAGGTTTGCGTAATATTTTTCGGATAAAATATTAAGTTAATGTTTTTAAAAATCGTAAATCGAGCCGTTTAACAACACTAATTGGATATCTTCAATTATACTAGTGTAGTACTAATGAGGATAATATTATGAGAATTATTCTCAACAAACAAATGAATAAAAGAAACATTATCAAATTTATTTTTGATAAAAACAAGATGTCGAACCGTTAATGGTTAGTTCAATCCCGGTTATTGTATTTGCATGGGTCCCAGGCCTATAAATCCATGCCGGTTCGTTTATAAATTTTGGATTTATATAATAAATTATTAAAATATAATATAATATTTTTTTAACACCCTAATAATCTAATAAAAACCCAAGCAAGATAAAAGAAGTTGAATTTCTTTATTTTGTTAAAAAGCATGTGCATAGGAAATAACAAATTGTAACATAACCACAATATAAATTTGAGCTATTTTTTTCTATAAAATTTTGCAATCATTAAAAACATAATTTCGAAAAACCGTAAGAAAGTGTTTATAACGGGTTGGAAGTAAGGGTTCGGCTATGCTTCTGAAATTTATAGCGATTATTTCTGTTTCGCGGTTCGATACCCTGAATAAAAATAAAATATCTACGGGGAAGACTCATTCACAAGATACGTAAAAATGTTTTCTTATTGTGATGTTATAGTAACACGCTGATTATTTTGGAAGTGAATTATTTTGTAGTGCAAGTAATAATATTTAATTTATATGATAATGCACAACACTTTGGTTCTCAATTTGTATGATGCTAGAAAGATTATAAAGTTTGGAAGATTTTTGTAATGATTTTATTATAGGAGCATGTGAAGTCATTTTTTTGGAAGATGATTGGTGCCAAACAAAGAACCTTACTAGTTTATTAGTTCCTTTAAAAATAATAACATTAAGATTACAATCAGAATAATTATGTTTATCTGATTTTTATGGCATATGGATTAGATGCCGGTTAGATTTAGAAAAACTTAGTCCTTTTTCATACGAAATATTAGAAAACATGAAAATTCGAGAGCATATTTGCAAAATAGTGTTGTATACGCTTCTATAAATTTAGATCCTCGATATCAAGTTTTATTGAGTATTGAGCAAAAACAAATAGCTAAAGACCATCTTAAGGATTTATGGCATATGCATTAATTATTTACAATATATTGGAGGCTACGACATTACCTACTGGTTGTAGTGATAATAATAATGATAGCAACATTGATGATCTTGAAATTTTACATTTAGATATAGAAAAAAAAATCAAATTCTCATCAGATAGAAAGGAGGATCAAAAAATACCAATTGTAGAAACGTTTTCAGAAGTTAAGAGAATAAATAAGGAGATAAATATTTTAAAATTCTAGGAAGAAAATTCTTCAATATATCCAGAATTATATATCTTGTCTAGGTCATGGCTGTACAGCGACACAAGTACAATAATTTATGTATTAAAAAGATAACTATCTATTTTAAGTAAGAGTACGTGGATTTTCATCTTTGAAATCTATATATTGTCTAATTTATGTGGAAATCTCAAGAATGATATTTTAGAAGATATTATGATTGTGCGATTGAATAAAACATTTAAAATATAAATTATTTCATTTTAAAATTTTTTATTTCTAAATTATGAATGTATATATATTGAAATATAATAAATGAATGAAAAAAATCTTATTTTGAGTCATTTTTTTTTATATTCCCTGTACCCGGACTCGAACCCTTTTTAAATTTTATTCCTGTACCCGAACCCGGACACTTTTTTTGTTGAAGGGTTCACATCCCTGAAAAACAATTTATTTTTTTTTAAAGGTTACAAGACTTTTTAGAAATATTAAAGTAACGGCTTTACATCAAAAAAAATTTATTTGGCAGAGTAATGTAAATGGGAAAACGTTATTTTTTTGAATAACAATAGCAGCTCTTATTTAATAAATTTTCGGCAAAAAAATATATTTTATAAAAAATTTTGTTAATCTTATTGTTTTTAACTTTTTTATAATTTTCAATTTTCGATAATAAACATTAAAAAAAATTAATTCGTCGTTATTCGCAAAAAAGAATTCATTCGCGTTCATCGGTCACAAAAATAAAATCCGTTGGCATTCATTTACAAAATTCAAATTTATAATTAAATTATCTGGGCAAACAATAGTATCGTATATAATTTCATATGAAGTTAAAAAAATAAATGCCTAGATATCGTCATTTATAAAACAACTAAAATATAAATTATATTAAAATTTTAAATTTAATAAAATTTCAAATAAATTTGTGATATAATAGTTTTTCAAAATATTTATGATATGCAACGCATCGTAATTAAAACGCGATTCACTGAGTGAAAACGCGTTCTACATGAGCTGAAGGTGGAATTACCGTGTTGTATTTAACGATTTTTTATCTAATGAGATCGGAATAAGTTTAGCTCATTTCTTGTTCCGAAGAATTTTTCGAAAAACTGAGTCTGCATGCAGATCGATTTTAGAAACCAAATGGAATTACTTTATTTCTATCGGTCCTGGCCAGATCTGTGTAGCGCATAAGTACTCTAGCCAAAAAAGTAATATATTAGTGTATTTTCTAAGTCTTTGTCAAACAAATTGCATTCACAGTTAGCGCGAATTCGCGGCAAAGTATACAAAAGAATGCAGGGTATCAATATGATTTGTTGTAAAACATTTCCATATATTTGTAACAACTTTCTTAAAGAATTGTTTAACTTTCTAACATTATTTTTTAAAAAATGTCAATATGCTATTATAACAATAATTATAGCAAGTCAAACAATTTTATAAGAAAGTTGTTACAAATATATGAACACTAGAGATATGCAAAAGTAAGCCGGCTCGGGCCTAATTTTTTTTAAAGAATCGAATTAGGGCCAGGTCGGGCCTAATACTTATTAAAAAAATTCGGGCCGGTTCAGGTCGAGCCTTGGAAATTTTTTAAATATATCTAAATTTATCAATTTTATATTAAATCCTTTATGTAAAATAAAAATATTTTATTTTATTTAGAAACTAGATGCCATATAACATATGTCTTTTATTTTGAATAATTATAAAAATTAATTTCTATATTTAAATAAATTCGGACCGGGCCGGGTTTGAAAAATTAGGCCCGATGCAGATCACTAACACACACTATAGTATAAAATAGGAATAACAATCGGTAAATAATTACGATATTTAATAATAGTGAGAAGTTTTTAGGCATATTAATGTCGAAGAATAATAATAAAATACATTAGGTATTACTTGTCAGATATCACGTAATCTGTCGAATTTTACAAGTAAAGTGTCTCATCAAATCAGTTGACGATTGAGTTACAGATTTATGTGAAACTCCAACTAATGATAATGCACGTCATCGGAGAGTATATATAGCAATCTATTAAGCAAAGACTAAATTTTAAGCTATACTTTTATTGTACATTAACCCTACTCCATATCTGGCTACCCCTTATGCTAAATTCGCCAAGGAAGTTAGTTTTGAAAAAAATGATATCAAATAGTTACTTTTGCAACATTACGTGGGACTAGTATTGTTAAACGGCTCATTTTGAGCCGATTTTTAAAAACGGCTAACTCAATATTTTAGCCAGAAAAATATTGCCTAAGCCTTGAGATTTTGCTAATAGATGTTCAAACCTTTGTTCCTTCTATAAACAAAATCTTCAGTCTTGCTTAATATTATTCAAGATGAAATATTGAGTTATTCGTTTTTAAAAATCGGCTCAAAAAAGAGCCGTTTAACAACACTACGTGGGACCGATAAAAATAAATCAACCCCATTTGGTTTTTAAATTAACTTCGCACGCGGGCTTTGAAAAGCGGTCTAAACCGCTTCCAGCTGACCTTCCTTAGTTTTATCTTTCGCTTAAAATGATTTATAAATAATCATCTTCTAGTTACCTACTAATTCATAGTAATGATAAACGACAATTCAGAATTGCAATTTTTCCTGAGGCTTGATCAATTCTTTTCTATACAATTCTTTTATTTTTATCTTTTCGTTTTGTAGAAACCTTATCCAAGGTCATTCGAGTATAAATACCTGATAAATTATCTACAAAATTAATTATAATTTATCTCAAATATGAGTATAAAAAATACATTATCACTCAATAGTTAGCGCGAATTCGTGGCGAATTATAAAAAATATGCTTTATTATAAAATTAAAGTGAAAATCTTAACTTTGGTTATTAAAATTAAATGAACGTAAAATATGAACGAACACGTTGATCAAAAAAATCGTCCGTTTAAAGTTCGTCTAAAAAAAATTACAATGTTCTTTCTTAAAAAAAAACAATTTTAATCGCAAACGCGTGTCGAGGTCGACAATGTTTTCCCAACAATCCCGCCAACTATTTTCACCGCCTTTTGCGTTTCATATTATTTATATTTTCCAATAGATTTAGACTTTTGTTCCTTTTCTCTTAGTTACTTAAAAAAATCCCCATTTCAGTGATTTTTATTTTTTTTTCCAATCTTCCTTTCCATGTCCAAATCTTATAAAAACGAATTAAAAGGTAATCTAAGATATCGGTTAAGATAACATAAAGTGGGTGATTTTTGAATATTAATGGCAATTTTTTTCGGTATAACATAGATTCCACTGTTATAACGATAAGATAATTTTTTCTCCATATCGGTACTCGGCTAGAGGAGGTATAACTTCCGATAATTTATTAAATAAAATTAAAGTAAAAAGGCGAATTCTCCATATCGGTACTCGGCTATCCAATTACTTTAATATTTTTGTGACTCTTCAATTGCATGAAAATGATTTTTTTAGGTTTTAGAGATAGCGAATCGTTCTTATTCTAACATCGATTTGAAAATAATTATATCTTTTTTTAAAAAAAAGGTCAGAATTTAATAATTTAATATATAAAAAGATTAATAATTTATTTCATTATTTCGATTTCTATGTGTTTTGATTATTCATATTTTTTTGCAAAATATTAATATATGAAAAGGTCATTTATATAGCTCCTGGATAAGATAATCGGAATTAAATTTCTAAATTCCTTTCTCTAAACATTGCTTATTTATTTTTTATTGATTTATAAAAAAAATAATTTTTTCAGCATGATCTTATATTAACTTATTTAAATTATATTTTTAAAACAAATACAACTAATTAAAAGTAATAGAAATAAAATTAAAAATTTTTTCTAAACAAAAAAGTCAGTTATATGAGTAGTTCAATTTTACTCAAAAATGAGTCTCTGCAAATTCAACCCTGAATCTGGCATTTTATTCTTGATATATTATGATGTATAAAAAATAAAATTGTGTATAAACTACATACAACTTTTCTTCACATGTAAAGACAGTGAAAGGATATGCTTTTTTACTACAAAAATAATATATTAGAATGGCAACCTAAATACCAATAAGACATCTCTTGATAAAAATAATTAAGATAACCACCCCCCCCCCCCAATTTACAACTTAGCTGACAAAATGTTGCCCCTTCCTCCATCTTGGACCAAATGCCTGACTTGAGGCAAGGTCCTAGTAATGGATAAAAGACTAGATATTTCAAAAAAAAATTCAAAAAATATCAAATGCTTAAAATTAATTTCAAAAGATCTTATTCTCTGTAAAAATATTTGATCACCTTTTAATAAAAAAAAATAAAAATTATTTTATTTAAAATTCTCACCTTCATCATTTTCATCATCAGGCTTGCAAAGTCGATTGAGAATTCCCAACTCGATCTGGCCTTGCCTAGTGTATGAAGGCTGATTCTTCAGGATTTTAACAGCCACTATCTCACTTGTTCCCCTTTTCCAGCATTTGACAACTTGGCCAAATGTTCCCCGACCCAAAAAGTCAAGTACTTCATAAGAATTGGTGGAACTTTGGGCAGATAAATCCTCAGCCTTGGGTGGGTGATGGTAATAATTACGGCGCCCATGTATCATTTGTTTAGCCCCAAAATCACTTTGATCATTACTGATACTCATTAAGGATGATGATGGGTAAAGAATTTCATGCTGGACTAAACGATAATCACCATCATTATTGTTCGAATCAGCATCAGTGTTATTGTGCGAGACATTGTGATTATTCAAGTTTTGTGAATTGTATTTGTTGATATTAAGCAAGAGTTCATTCAAAATGTTATTGCCGTTGATGTTAGCTATATCATTTATGCTATTATAGGATTGATTATAAGAATGCAATTGATGAGGATTTTGATTCTGCTGCAAATTTTGTTGACTCAGAAGATGTTGAAACAACAAATTATTGGTGTTATTTGGGTTGATAATTCTAAAATCATTGTTGTTAAGTTGAACATTTGAATTATTTTTTAAAAGATTATTATCGCCAGACTGATAATTTTTCAGGACTCGTTGCTGCTTCTGTTTATTATTAATTTCATTTAGATAATAGTTGTTGATAAGAAAATCATATTTATTATTGACAGCATTGGTGTTGTAAGCATTTTTATTAAATAAGTAATTACCCAAATTAAAATTCTCTGCATAATTATTAATCAAATTACCATTTTTATTATTATTCATAGCAATATTATTACTGGGATTGATATTATTAGTGAATAGCATCTGATTATACAGAATATTTTCAAATGATATATCTGAATACTTCTGTCTTTTATTTTTTAAACTTTTTGAATATTCACAATCAACAATTTTACTGTCCTTCCCAATATATTTTCTTTTGTTGGTTAATTTCACAAAAGCAGTATGATCAGGTGATAACTGAATACTTGATTTATGTTCACTGTAAGGAATTTTATTTAGTGGAGTTTCAAATTTTTTGCCACTGCCATCTTTGTGCAAAGAGTGTAAATTAATTAAATGATTTAGTGAGTTGTTATAGGGATAATAAGGAGGAAAGAAAGGGTTTGACAAAAAATATTCATACTTATTAAAATCATACTCTATTTCTTGACCATGCTCTTGATTTGAATTTGCGTAAAAAGAATCAATAAGGTGGTTAAATTTATTCTTTATATCATTAGGTTTAAGATTTCCATTATCATTATTCTTAACACTATTATTGTATTTACAATCATCTAAGTAGTCAAATTTATATTTATCGTGGACAGCATTTTTGTTTTCATTATCGCATATATAAGTCTGAGGTAAGCTTGAATCATGTGATAAGGTTTTAAGGAATTCAGAATCATGTGCAAAGGATAGTTTTTCATCATATTTATCACAAAAATCAGGATATAAATGATCAAAATTACGTTTAAACACGTTTGAATTATCAAACCTTCTTTTATGAGAAGATATTTGTTGTTCCCAAATATCTTGTAAGACACTATCTTGCATGCCAACGTAGGTCTACCATCTTAAATTATCATTTAATATATTATAAATTAGGCTATATATATAATATATTTTAATTATATTACCACATATATTGTATCTCCTCTAAATATTAATAAGTAATCCTTTTGTTCAACCTGACTGCTTTTTCACGAAATTCCTAAAAATATTAAAAGTCCACTAAATACATAGGTAAAACGGACAAATAACGTAATATTTAGTACCGTATTCGTTTTATATGCCACAGAAAAGCTTGGTTCCCTCATAAAGCACATCAAACTGAGAAAACAATTAAGGGAAATAATTATGAGTAGGACTATCCAAGATTTTTTGGTAAGCTGCAGTTACATGTGCGCGCAGGAGGTAGAGGCACCTACCTAAAAGCCCATTGGCAATGAAAAAATAAATAAAATCTCATGTCTGCTTAAATTAAGATTTTGATTATGTTGACTAGGTTAGATTTACTCTTATTCTGCATGGAGCACATATAGAAACATAAGAGTAACTAACTTATATAGATTAACAATTAAATATGCTCCTATCTATTATTGGAGCTAATATAATTATTTATTAATTAAAATAAAAATTTTTAATTTTTTTAACCTTAGATATATTTATAAACATCCATCATACGGATTATATGCGGCATTAACTTAATTGAATAAGTTTCCATGATTAAGTCTCTCTCGCTACAATTACAAGAAAGAAAATGACATATATATATATATGACGAATCCCGGAAAAAAACCCCGGAAAATAAACCTCCAGGAAAAAAAATCGCAGAAAAAACCTATGGAAAAAGACCCGCCGAAAAAAAACCTCGGAATTTCTTTTTCATAATTATAGAATTTACTTAAGACCTAATAATATAGGTATATTTTTATTTGAATTATAATGGATATGCTCATATTTATAAAGTATAGACAAATTAGTATTATTAGAAAAATATATTATAAAAATATAATATATTAATAGGCAAATTATTTTAAGCCCTAATTCATTATTTAAAGAATACTCATATACCCTCCATAAAAAATGCTTAAACAATATAAAATACTGAAGTTCAAATTGCTACTGGGGAAAAATACCACAGTGAAATAGTAAATGTATTTCTTATTTTCATTAAAATCAAATTATAATATCCATCCATAATTACGATATTAAGGTTAAATTTGACAAAATTTTGTAATAATATATATTTATTTTATTGGTAAATCATGATTATGTATATAAATTTAATAATTTAGAATAATAATTATATAGGTTGACATCGAATATAATCGCTCTTATAAAATTTAGAAGGCTTCTCACCCCATCACAGTATTCCTCGCAAAGTTTCTTTAACCTAATCTGGGTATTATAACTCTGCGATTTTGTTTTTGGCGTTCAACTATCTACACGCCATCGTTCAAGTTTACTTTCACAGTAGTCACCGCGCATTTCATTTTTTTAATCAATACCCAGATTGATGGGTGTTAATTCCCAACCAGATTAGAAAAACGAGGATTCCAAACTTCGCATCGCATTCTTTATTTGGGCGTTCTTCGTAGGATAAAGTGCTCTGATTCACATTCCAAGTTTCTAAAGGAAATCGTTCAATTCTACGTGTTTAAAATTGAGAATTGCTCAGGGATGTCGCTAGCCTTTACAATATCAGGGGGCTCAACTAAAAAAAAATTAATGGGAGCGAAGCCCCCATACCACTGTTTTGCCCCCGCTTTTGCCTTGCCTTCGGCCGGGTTTTATATTAATATATTAAACTTTTTTAAAATTTGCTAACTAAACAATTATTCTGAATTTCATATTTTGTCATTTATTATATTTTGCATACAAATAATCTAGCATATAAATAATTAAAACAATACTAGACATTTCTAAAAATAATATTTTCTAATACAAAATCTATTTATTACAGTATTTAATATTTTCGATTGCTGATATATAATAATTTAGCGTCTAAATAATTACAAGTGTTAAAAATAAAGGTTAATAAATTCATACATATGCCTCAATTGATAATGGAAATCAACATAAGGATATATAATTCTTAGCAAGTTACATTGACAAAAGGTCACGAAACAAATAAAACTCTCTGTTACCATTTTAGACAATGTTTTATAGAATGGACTAATAAGGAAAAATTCATAGGCCTAAACCAAATCAATAATTCTTGAAGAAGAGAGTATAAACAAACAATCCAAATCATATAACTATATGGCCCTCTTAGATGACATGATGGAAGCTAGATAAGTAATCGAGAAAATTATCGTGAGATATTAAATTTCTTTAACTTTCATTTTTAATGATATATAAACGACTACAGAGTTGACCATTATTGTTTATCTAAAATATGCAATCATATGCTCTCGGCAGGTGTAATAATAATCTTAAATTACATAGCAACACAAATAAAATTCTGTTAAATTTTCAGTCATAGCCATGACACTCACGATGTTAACTCATATCAGAATTTATTATGTTGGATAAATTGATAAAATAAAAACACTAAAAATCTTTGAACGAAATATTTATGCAAATATATTGAAGTCTTGAGTTATTTATACGGCAAGGATGCCATATTAGAATGAAACATTTTCAAACTATAAAATAAGGAACAGAATATTATATCAATTAAGATTTTATATATTGTCGCGCTACTTCTAGTTGGTATATTATATCTTAAAATAATAGTGGTTTGTAAAATATCAAAAATATATTCGTATTAAAAATTTAACTTGCTGAATATGTTGATCGATGTTATTTTATTATTTATTTTGGCAATTGATTTATTTTATTATATATCAATTTGTATTTAATTTTAATCGGTGAAAATTTTATATTAACATTTTTTTATATATGATTTTAACGTTACATTTTTTGGTAACAGATTAAATCATGGGGAAATTTTCATATATTATTTTTTTTTATTTATTTTTTTTTTAATATTTTTTTTTTATTTATTTTTTTTAAATATATATTTTTATTTATTATTTTTTTTAAATTTAAAAAAAATCTTAAGTATATTTAAGAATTTAGAAAAAAAGAGTATATTTAAGAATTTAGAAAAAAAGAGTATATTTAAGAATTTAGTAAAAAAAGTATATTTAAGAATTTAGAAAAACAGAGTATATTTAAGAATTTAATAAAAATAGGTATACTAAATAATTAATCAATTTATTTGAATAAACATAACATATATACAATGTTAAATTTAAAAAACTTTGATATTGTATCAAAAAATTTCCTTCAAAATCCACACGATATTTATTTATCAAAAAACATCTAAAAATATGCCAATTGAAAGAAAAAGGTAACATTCAAAAATTTCTACCAAAATCCAGACAATCTAAAAAAAATAAATAAAAAATTTAAAAATAAATAAATAAAAAAAAAATATTAAAAAAAAATAAAAAAAAAATAATATATGAAAATTTCCCCATGATTTAATCTGTAACCTATGTCAATTTGTATTTTCACACAAATAGTTATTTTTTTATTGTTAAAAAAAAGATATATAAGGAGAATAAAAATGTAATTCGTGACGAAAATAAAATAAAATGTAAATTATTAAAAAAAATAAAATAAAATTATAATCAATATAAAATGTGATATAATTATCTATCTATAATAAAACGTGTATTTAATACAATTTTATCATAACTCAAAACTGTTTTTTAAAGAAGAAAAAGATAGCTTTCCTAAAAACAAGTAAAAAAGAGAAGAAAAGATATCTAATTTATTACATCCATTGTGGGATGAATAATAAGTCGTTTAATTTTAAAATTATTTTAAATAAATAGATGGCGTTAAAAAGTATTAACAGTAATACATTATATAGCTGTTAAATACGTCTGTAAAAGTGGCATTTTATCTAATATTTTATAAATAATTATATATTATAGAGTATTATAAATTATACTAGTAGATAGCCCTTCAAAAATGACGGGGAATGAGAATTTTCTTCTTACTTTTATGCTAGATGTTACCTTTTATTTGAAAATAATATCCAATTTTTATTCTTTTTACCCCCTCCCCCCTTCAGGCCAGGTTCAAACCATTAAAACTAAGTGTATTTGAGTAAGAATAAATTTAAAGCTTTTACTTGATAATACCAATATTATTTGTTAAATATTACTGATCACTTATACCTAATATTTAATATTAAAAAAAATTTCCAGGCAAAGTACAAAACCATAATAATTTTGAAAAATTCTTCCAAGCCCAATGAAATATCATAAAAATTTTGGTAGTTGAGAACTGAAATAAAATATTTAAATAATCATAATGAATTTAAAAATACAATCAAAATCAGATTTTCACGGGCCTTTGTTTTTTGATCAGGTCAAGCCCAGGCCTGCAAAAATATTTTCCAAGCCCAGCCCAACCCTTAATAATTTTATAAAAAAATTTTAAATCTCTAAAAACCATAACTATTTTTTTTATTCTATTTTAACCCAGCTCACTTGACCAAGGCCAATCCATTAAGACTAAGAGTAGATACTTTTTTTTGAATAAAAATATATTTAAATTAGCTTTTACCTGAGGACCATATAAATATTATATGTTAAATATTACACCTATGCCTAATATTAAAAAAATTCCCAAGCTAGGTCCTCGCAAATGGGAAAATTTTCTCAAACTCGCCAAAGACCATAATTATTTTGAGTTGAGAACTGAAATAAAATATATATAAGTCACAATGCATTTAAAAATACAATCAGAATATGAAAGTTGCATAGGCCTTGGTTTTTGATCAGGCCTTGCAATGTCTTCAAAAGAAATTTTCAGGCCAATTTCTAGGCCTTATTTAAAATTAAAAAATTTACAGGAATCTAAGACTATAATAATTATGAAAAATGTTTCTCAAGATATGTCCAAGACCATAATAATGGTGAAAAAAATTTCTCAAGTCCAGGAAAACCCAAAATAATTTATTCCTTGGACCCAGAAAAATAGGTCTGATGGAAGGGGTTTATAAGAATTAAATCTGTCTATGTACACATATTTTTGCCATTTTAAATGGAAAATTTTTCAAAATTATCATCAAATGAAAGGTAAATATCTGATTTACTTATCATTCTACTGGTTGGCTCCTGGTAATAAGTACCATGCTGAAAATATGCTCATCTTAATTTAAATTTAAACAAACCACCACCCTTCCAATGATT